CGTAGCCACCCGGGTACGGCGTCACATACTGTCGCGCAAGGCCGGCATCAAAGCGAGCGGGACGGCTAAAGGCCCCCAAGACGGTACCGCCAACAAGCGCCGTTCCAGTGACGCTCGTCAAAAGCACGTTCCCAAACGACACCATCACGGTCGCATGCAGCCGTCACGTCGCAACAAACGCCAAGGCACGGTGGCGCGGCTCCGAAGAACCGCAGCAGCAACGAGGAAGCCGCCCAGCTTGGCCCTTTCTACGACCACACCCAACCGTTAGTTGAGCGTCGCGCTCACCGTCGCCAAGCTGCCGCCAACGACGCCAATCACCTACTACTTGGGCACCACCTCGCCGCAACCCATAGCAGGCAAGGCAATCAACCTCTTTTGCCCCCTTTTCTGGCAACAAACGCGACTCCTCAAAGGAACCAAAGTGTGTGCCAGACCTGGCGAGCACTATGAGCCACAGGCTCGGTAGAGCAAAAGCCGACGAGAGCTTGCGGGAGAGGCATCTCAAGACGGCAACGCAGCGGCACAAAGGACACCCAACCGGCAGCACGCGACGAGCAAGTGCTAATAACGTTAGTCCGCTACGAAACTTGAGCCCAAACCGACAAGTGCGGTCCGCAGGAGTTAGGTGATGGAAACAGCGGTGCGTAGAGTCACTCGACAGACGAATACCCCAGTAGCACGATCTCGCATCGTCGCAGAGCCACTGCTTGGTGTGTTTGCCCGCGTCATAGTCGGGCACCTCGAGTCGACTTCGCGGCAGGTGTGGCCAACCCAGTACTAGTATAGGAGGTGGAGACCGGTCGCTCGGTGTTGTGGTGCCTGGCGTTGCCAGCTCTCGTGGCAAACAGTCTGTAATGGAGCAGGAGCCGACGAGCGCACGTTGGGTCACCCGGCAGACAGAGAGTCGTTGTATGCAGCAATCTCGGGCGTCCGTATCGAGCTACGTGCAATTGTGCGATGGGAGACCACGTCTTCTCTCAACACTATTTGTCATCGCAGCAAGTGCCGTCGCATCTTCGCTGCCGCACGGATCACACCAGCGTCCTGGCGATGCATTGTAGTAGGATATAATGTCATAACTAGACGGCGATTGGCTCGGCGTCGTACACATCGTCGCATGATTTGCCGTCGTCGACGTCCCAGCTCTCAAACTCGGTCACCGACACCATGCCCGAGTGGTCGTAATCAATGTCATCGACGAGGAGCTCCCAAAAGAGCGGCTTGACGTCCGAACCGAGCGACTCGATAAAGCTCTTGAGCTCCATTAGGCTCCAATTGCCGTCCATGTCGTGGTCGTGCATGGCAAAAATCGACGCGACGTCCTTGGTTTCAAGCCTTCTGCTGGTGTCACATACACTATTAATAACTTCATTAGCACACTATTAGCACCACATTGCCGTTGAGTAACCAATCGAAAGGCGGCAAAATGCGCGCAGCAGCAGCAGCGCCGTTGCGCCGGTTGGGCGCCTTCTGAGCACAGCGCCAGCCACAACGACTGCGCCTACCCCTGTGGCCAAAGCCAAGAAGCTAAAGACATCCAAAGTCGTCAAGGTTGCCAAGGCTGCACCCGCCAAGACCATGGCAGCGTCCTCCAAGGCCAAGGCCGCCAAGGCCACAGTACCGTCGGCCGACGGCGCGCCGACGTTCAAGCATGGCACGCTCAGCAAAGACTTTGAGACGCGACTGTATGCCAAGGGCTTCAAGTGCGTCGTGGGTGTGGACGAAGCGGGGCGTGGTCCGCTTGCTGGCCCCGTGGTCGCGGCGGCCTGTTATGTCCCATTGGATGTTGTCATCGAAGGTATCCACGACAGCAAGAAGCTCGATGAGAAGCAGCGGAAATGGCTCTTTGCCCAAATCACGTCCAACCCTGCTATCAAATACGCAGTCCACGTACGTTGCCTTCCTGCTAAAGAGCACCTCGTGATTTGCCAGCAGATCAATCCACCGGCGCGCATCGACGACATCAACATTCTCCAGGTAAACAGACCCAATGCGATAGCGACAACACCATTCTAGGCGACGCTCGAGTCCATGCGCAAGTGCGTCGAGGACCTCCCGATGCCGGTCGACTATGCGCTCATCGACGGCAACCGCATGCCGACGCTCGACGTCGACGGCGAGACCGTCGTCAAAGGGGATGGGCGCGTCTACTCAATCGCAGCTGCCTCCGTCATTGCCAAGGTAGACTCGTCAATCTACGGCAGCCGCCGTTGACAATTGCTAGGTCACGCGAGACCGCCTTATGGTCGCCTACGACAAGGAGTACCCCGAGTATGGCCTCGGCCAGCACAAGGGCTATGGCACCAAGTACAATACGCAACTAGAAGATAGGCGGCACTCATGTATGGATAGAGCACACATGCTCGCGATTCACAAGCACGGCGCGACCCCGATTCACCGCATGACGTTTGCACCACTCAATCAACTCTAACCCATCATACTACTAGTACAACGGAAGTCATTTTAGTGAAATTGTCATTTGTCTTTGCATGTACGCTTGAATGATACAGCGCCGGACGAGGTAGCATCATCGGCGGTCCGCACCGCGTACTGTGTGCCGACGACGAAGTGCGCAAGTGCTCGCTGGCTTGACCCATGTCGCTGGCGGCTTTCCCAGCCTTCCAATATTATTAAAGCGATATTACTTGACAACGCTATGCAATAAAAAGCATTTGGTGAAATGATTTGACTGGCCAAATATCGTGTCATTTTGGCCAATCCCGGGTCGTGCGATGCGAGCCAACGCGCTCGATGGGCCGCTCGGACGCCAAACCAACGTTTCTCATGAACTCGCTCCAACTCGGCTTGTTGATAGACGATACTCTGGAGAGCTCAAAATGCTACGTCCCGTCGGCGTTGGAGCTGTGGAGCGCGAGCTATCGACTCGGCTATTAATTGTGGCGCATGTCATATATAATCACAAAACGCCACATGTTGCCACAAATAGTCGCCCAACCACGCCAAAGCACGCGATCGACCATCGTCACCGCGACCGCATGCGTACGACCGTCACGTCTAGTCCGCTCAACGTATACAGGGCTAGAAAAGGACGCGAGGCACGTACCTAGTCGCTCGCTCAAGCCCACGCTGGTTCGACGACAAACATTGGGTTGCAGCATGGGTCAATAAACCCATGGTTGGAGTTATCCGGACTGTGCAAAGCGTCGCAGCGGATCGGGAAAGATCGGGTTGCATGGAGGCGCTTAGCGATGCGCAGGTCGCGCTCTTCGCGTCCGGTGGCGCGCTCGCCGACTACGCGATCCTCAAGCCCATCGGGAAGGGCAAGTTTTCGGTCGTCTACCGCGCCAAGCGCATGGCCGACGACGTGCTCGTCGCGCTCAAGAAGATTGCGATCGACGTCATGGACAAGCGCGCGCGCGAGAAGACGCTCAAGGAGGTCGTATTGGCTCTACGTGTACAGCAACGGCATACCACTGCGCTGTCTAGGTCCGGCTCGTGCAGTCGGTGCACCATCCCAACATCATCCAGTATCTCGATGCGTTCATCGCTGGGAACGAGCTCTGCATCGCCTTCGAGTGGGCCGAAGCGGGCGACCTCAAGCGACAGGTCGTCCACTTGACTCGTTAGAATAGCGGTTGACAGGCCATCGTGTGAGTAGATTCGCAAGGCGAACGAGAAGGACACGCGCTTTGACGAGCGACTCGTGTGGAAGTACTTTGCACAAATCGCGGCCGCAATCGACCACATGCACACACACCGCATCATGCACCGGGATATCAAGCCCGCCAACATCTTTCTCATGTCGTCGGGCCAGGTTAAAGTCGGCGATCTCGGGTTCACGCGCCGTTGCTACATCCCTCTGTACTCTCGATGGTGCGTAGGCTTGGCCGCCACTTGAGTGAGAACACGATGGCGTGAGTACGTGGTGGGCAATGCGTAGTAAGTGGTGGGTAAGGAAACAGTGTAGTAGGATATAATGTCATAACTAGACGGCGATTGGCTCGGCGTCGTACACATCGTCGGCATGATTCGCCGTCGTCGACGCGGTCTCGCCTCGGTGGCGGACGACCCAGCTCTCAAACTCGGTCACCGACACCATGCCCGAGTGGTCGTAATCGATGTTGTCGACGAGGAGCTCCCAAAAGAGCGGCTTGACGTCCAAGCCGAGCGACTCGATAAAGCTCTTGAGCTCCATGAGGCTCCAGTTGCCGTCCATGTCGTGGTCGTGCATGGCAAAAATCGACGCGACGTCCTTGGGCTGCACGTACTGCGCCAGCTGCATGAACGGGCGCTTGGCTTCGTACCCGACGTACAAGTTGACGCCCGCCATGACAATCAAGAGCGGTCCCGTCACGAGCGGCAAGACCATGGCATCGGCTTGGTACAATGAGAGCGTGAACGTGCCGATGAAGAGGTAAAACGCCGCACGACCAAAGATCGACGCTAGGAATTGGACAATATTGTCTGTGATCCAAATGCGCGCGTCGCGAAAGAGGTGCAGTGGCGTTTCGACGACGACCATGAGGAGACCAAAGAGAATCACCCAGAGGTTGAGCACCACGTAGATCGGTGACGCCGACGTTGTCCTAGACAGAGCCCCGTCTCAACCTCAAACCTCAAACCTCAAAAAAGGGCGTACGAGTGGTGCATGACCGCCACGTTGCTGAGGACACCTGTGAGCACGGTGAGGACGCTCACACTAATGTTCGCCTTCTTCAAAACCGACGACGGGACGTGCACGACCGACTTGGCCGGCAGCGCCTACATAGCATTCGCTTACTAAGTACGTCGCATCACACTGGAAGCGAGCAGCGTACCGGCGCGTCGTGGAGCTTGGCGCGCGACCACCAGTTGAGGAGCTCGGGCAGCGACAGTGTGTTGCTCTTGTCGACGTCAATATCACGAAAGATTGACTCGATGTACACGGAGTCGATGCGGGACCCGAGGCGGTCGACGAGCAGCATGAACTCGTCCATGTCGAGCTCGCCCGAGTCGTCGACGTCGACGCTCTGGAACGCTTTGGCCCACGCCTCCTGGGTCGGAATCGCTTGGCACAGGAGGAAAAACTCGTGGGACGCAAGCGCGCTCAGCAGCATGGTCGCGCTGCCAAGGATGGCCGAGAGAAGGCCGGCGCCGCAGAGCAAGAGGTTCTGCCACGTCGCGTGGAGCACGAGGCTCATGGCGAGGAAGCCGATAAACACCATGAAGACGCCGCGGCCAAAGACAGAGCCGAGCAGCGGCACTTGGCGAACTACGAACGGGAGCACTTTGGCTTCAAAGAACGAGAGCTTGATCTCGAGCACGATGAGGACGAGCGCGAATGCGAGGACCCACGCGTTGATGAGGAAGACGAGGAAATAGCCCGAAAACAAGTCAAACACGAACGCGATCGCGGCCGACGCAAGCAAGAGCACGCCGTTGACGAACGAGAGGACGCGGAGACTTGTGGGCGCCGACTGCACCCACCGGCAGAGGCGCCGGCCGTGCGCCTTTGACGCGGTGAGCGCAAGCTCTTTGACAAACCCGGGGTCGTCGTACGAGTGCGGTGCTGAACCGGGGGCCGACGGCGCCTGCATCTGCTGGATGACAACCGCGACCTCGCGCGTCGAGAGCCCTTCGGTGGTTTCGACGAGCGTCTGCACCATGTTCTTCTCCTCGGGTGGCAGCGCGTTGATCACTTGCGACCGGACCTTTTCCGGAAGCGTGAAGAAGCTCTCGTGGACGGCTGCGGCGGTCTCGGGGTAGATTTGACCGCGCGCGCTCTCTTCCATAAGCAGAAGCGTCGGCGGCAGCATCGACGGCAGCATGTCCAGCGGCACCTTGTCGACAAACGGCAAAAGCTGCTGAAGCGTATGCGAGAGGCCGGTCGCGAGCACGTCTTGGCTTGGCTTGCTCAGACTCTTGACGATCGGCGCAGCGGCAATCACGTGGTCCGGATCATCGCCCGACGAGCCGTCGACGAGCGAGACGAGCGCGTGCATGGCCTCGTACTGGGCCGACACTGGCTGCGACGCAATGACGTCGCGGACGTCGCGAAACACACTTGGATGCGCCTCGAAGAAGCGACATTCGCCAAGGATGACCTCCCACTCGGGGCGCACGTCGAGCGCGACCGTCGCCGAGGGCTGGCGCACGACCGGCGGTGTCGGCGCGACGACGACCTCGACGATGGGCGCGGCCACTTCGGCGATCGTCACTGGTGGGCCGCGGGGAACATAGGCGGGGATCGGCTCTTCGGCTGCCATGGGCGGGCCGCGGGGCACGTAAGCGGGTGCGACGTCGTTCAGACTGTCGCTCGAGTGCTTGGACGAGAGGCGCTTGGTCGACTTGCGACGCGGCAGGAGCGCCTGAACGTCCGCCGGCAGCTGGGACACAAGCGCAGCGACCGTACTCTTCGAGAGCGCTTTGAAATACGTCGCGAGCAGCGCCTTCGAGTCGGCGTCCTCGACGATCGCTCGCGCCGACTCGGGCTCGAGAAGGCCCATGAGCACTTGGACGGTCTCGTACTGCGCTTCTTCGCTGGGCTGCGCTGCCAGGAGGCGCCGGACGTCGGCGAAGGCCGCGGGATGCGCTTGGAAGACGGGCACGTCGCCCAGGATCATGTCCCACTCGGACGCTTCGGGCTCGACCATCGGCTCGACCATTTCGCAATGGCAAGCTTCGACTTTTTTCGTGCTGGATTGTGCCGGATACGGGACCTCTGCCAACCGGTATCCGGACAACCCACCGACACCGTGCCGCCTGTCTTGGCGCGACGGCGACCATGCTCCTCGAACGTCGGTACCGGTATCATATGCAGCGACGAGGCTGGCTCATGGAGGCTGCCCGCCATCGACGATGCCAGAAGCGTCTGAGGGCAGAGATCGATTGGATCCTACACGATCGAAGAGTCGCTGTCGACGTGGCTTGGCCGCACAGATCGTGCTGCGTCGTTGTGACAAGCGAGTGGGTGCACTGCCCACGGCCATGACGCCTGCCTCCGTCAGCGTCTGCAGCCAGTGGATGAACATACGACGGCGATCGGGAACTGTACGGGCTAGAGCCAAGCGAGGACGCACTGGAGCTCGCATGGCAGTGCCATGGCTCTTCCATGGCGGTCTCGCTGCATCCTGCAGCCGACGTCGCTTCGTACGGCGCCCAGTCGTCGGTGGTCGAGTGACGAAGAGGACGACACCCGTGCCATCAACACGGTGCTCGCGGTTGATAATATCTTACAAACTACTACCTCCTCGAGGACGCCATCACGGCCTATTTAGGAGCTCCACGCGTTCTGGCCATCGTTGGCGGCGTTGCCCGTGTACGGCCGGTAGCCCTGCGGCTGCTGCGGGTACCCGCCGTTCCAGCCCGCCTGCGGGTTGAGGCCCTGGTGGCCGTAGCCGCTCCAGCCGCCATAGTGCGGGTAGCCACCGACGTTGGGCACGGGCGGCGACTGCGTGTGGTCGCGCGGCGCGTACTCGGGACGACCCTGGTTCTGCGGCACACCGCCTTGTTGTTGTTGCTGTTGCTGCTGCTGCTGTTGCTGCTGCTGCTTGCCCTGCGCGCCCACTTGGGGCTGCTGCAGCGAGTGGCGCTGGGGCACACCGCCTTGCTGCGCCGGCGTCGGCTGCGCGTGCGGGGGCGGAAGGTACCCGAGCTCACCAAACCCTTGCGGCACATACTCGTGTGGCACTTGGTGCGGGTCCTGGTAGCCGAGCGGCATGCTATGCACACAGCATTGTGACGGACAACGCATCAAAGGACACATACGTCTGCGGGTTGGAGAAGCCCTGGAGACCCTCCATGCCGTACGGCATCGAGCCGCGCGGCGGGTACTGCTGGCGCGGGCTGTACTGCGGGTACTAGATTGACCGTCAGTGCTACCATGTCTCGCCAGTTGCGTGTACCTGGGGGCTCTGGTAGTAGCCGTAGCCCTGCTGCGGGTAGTAGTTCCCATAGTTGTACGGGTTGTACGGCATGGCCATGCCCGGCGGCGGCGGCGGCGCAAAGTGGGGGTGGTACGACTGCCCCGGCAGCATCGGCGGCTGCTGGTACGGCGGCTGCTGGTGCTGCATGTGCTGCGGCTGCTGCTGCTGCTGGGCCGCAGGGTTGGCCGTCGGCGCGGGGTTGGTCGCGGTTGGGGTCGCTGCCGGCGCCGCCGCCACGGGCCCGGGTGCGTTGCCAGTCGTGTTGGGCGTTGTCGCGCTGCGCGTCGTCATTTGCGGCTGCATCTTGGAAATCGGCGTCGAGTTGCCCCCGATCGCACCTTGGTTGCGTCCGGCAATGCCGACCGAGTACTGGTTGTACGAGCTCGGGTTGGCCGGATACAAATTGCTGCCCTTGAGGTCGAACGACGGCGACGCCATGTTGGGCGATGCCGGCGCCTGCGTGTTGGCGCCAGCATACTTGGGCACGTTGCGCTTGACATCGTCGGGCTTGGGCAGCGACGCCGGCGACGGGGCCGCGGGCGTGTACTGCTTGCGCGGCGACGCCTTGCGCGGGCTCACCTGCGCGTCCATGCCGGGCGGCGGCACCGACGCCTTGGCCTTGGGCGACTCGTGCTTCTTGGGCGACCAGGCGTTGGCCGTCTTGTTGCTCGGCGTGCCCCACGTGGCCGAGGAGGCGACGCTCGTCGACGCCGGCGTCGTGTCAATGGCTTCGAGCGAGAAGCTGCCAAACTGCAGCGAGAGCTCGGTTTCCGCCACCGTCTCCCAGCGGCCCATGCTAAACTTGTTGCGGATCGGCGACGACTTGGGCGACGGCGACCCAAACGTGAGCGAGTGCGTCGGGCTCGAGTGACGCACGGGCGTCATGACCTTGGGCGTCGCAACCTTTTCCTTCTTTGGCGACACCACGGGCGACTTGGGCGTCTCGATCGGTGCCGGGCGCGCCCATGCATTCGTCGTCGTTGTCGTCGTCGTCGGTGCTTGCTGTTGCACCTGTTGCTGCGACTCCCACTCGGCGTGGGCCTTGGCTTCTTGCAGCGAAGCACCCCAGGATGCAATCGTGGCCTCCGGCTCCATCTTCGTTTCAGCCTTCTTAGGCGAGCGCGACGGCCACACGGGCTCGGGCTCTGCGATGACGACCTTGGGCTCGTCCGTGACAACGTCCCACGTCTGGTTCTTGGCAAGCGTCTTGGGGCTCACGGGCTTGGGGCCGGCGTGTACGACAGGGGACGCAGTGTGTTGATGCTGTTGCTGTTGGTGGTGCTGAACCTGCGGCTGCGGCTTCGGGGGCGCTTGCTTCTTTGCGACAAAACTGGGCTTCTGTGCCCACGCGCCTGTAAGGATCGGAGCCGGTGCTGAGACCACCGGCGTCGGCACGTACTTGGGCTTGGCGTCGTCTTCGGCGTCGTCGTCATCTTCCGAGCTCTTGTCGTCGTCGTCGTCAATCGGATCGTCGCTGCGTGTGTTGGAGAGGGGAGCCGGGGCGCTTCGGCCGCGCCCAGCGTTGCCACCGCGGGCACCACCGCCGCGGGACGTGCCCCGCGTAGGAGCACCACGGCCGCGGGTGCCACCACGTCCTCGGCCGCCGTTGCTATCGCCGTACGTCTGCGGCGGCGAGTGGTTGTACTTGGGTTTGGGTTCTTCGTGCTTCTTCTTGGGCTGCTTCTTGCTCACGGTGGCCCAGTCGTCTTGCGTGCTGTTCTCTTCCCAGAGATCGCTCACTGCGAGCGAGATCTTGTCAGGGTCGCCATTGTTTTGCTTGATGATCTGGGCGATGCGGGCGTCGGCCGTGCCCGGCGGGCAGAGCTCGAGGATCGCCGCCACCTACGAGGTCTAAGCCCATGCGCAGGACGCGATCGCCTCCTACTTCTTTGCTGCTGGGTCGGGCCGCCGACTTGGGCGAGGCCGCAGAGCGCGCTGCGTCCTCGTTGAGCTGCTTCACCTGGAGCCCCTTCTTGAGGAGGTAGTCCCGTCGAGATGCCATCGCGGTCTGTGTTTTTTGTTTGAACCTGTTCCGCGTGGTTCGAAAATCTCTGTATTTTAATTCGATTTCCACCCACCAGCTGCAAAACTACCTTGCTCTTTGTATGCAATCCACGCGACAAGCATTATATTTCCGCCTGCTCGGTGTTGGCCACACATTGGCAATAGAAGGGGGAGGTTGGAATTTCGGCCAATCACAACGCCCACGGCGGTGGGCACAAGATCGCGGCCGTCGGCGCGCGTCGACCCGGCCCCCGCTGCCATCATGACGCATGGCCCACGGCGCACGAAGAAGCATGGGCCAGAGACACGCCATGTCGGCAAAGCCATGCAAAGTCGGATATACAGGCGAGACGCGCATGTGCTATGCGGCCAGCAACGTGGCTAGCCACGCGGCAGGGCCATGGCACCTCGGACAAGGCGCTGGTATAGAGGCTAGCAGTGTGGGCGCGAAGAGGCGCGCGGTGGTGGCGAGGCGAGCCATACTGGCCAGGACGCAGCGTCGAGAGGCGGAGCTATGCTTACTAGTAATACAGAAAGGCTACAACTCGCCGCACTCGGTGATCGTCACGGGCGTCTTGGGCTTGTTCGCAGCACCGGTCTGGACGCTCTCGATCTTGCGCATGACAAGGAGCGAGGCTGGGTCGAGGAGCTTCCCAAAGACCACGTGCTTGCCATCGAGCCAGTCGCACGGCGCGCACGTGATGAAGAACTGGCAGCCGTTCGTGTCCACGCCGCTGTTGGCCTACGCAATACGTCGTCGAGTGCATGCATGGCATATGCCAAGCGTACCATCGAGAGGAGACCGGGCTCCGTGTGCTTGTACGCAAAGCTTTCGTCGGCAAACTTGTCGCCATAAATACTCATGCGGCCCGTGCCATCGCCCTACACCACGAGAAGCATGAGCATGGCGCGAGTTAGCGAGGAGGTACCTTGAGGAAGTCGCCGCCTTGGATCATAAAGTCGGGAATGATGCGATGAAAGTGGCTGCCCTTGTAGCCCGTGGGCATGTCGCCGCGGCGGTACTCGCCCGTGCAGAACTGGCGAAAGTTCTCGACCGTCTTGGGGCACTCGCGCTTAAAGAGCTCCATCTTGATGCGGCCCAAGGGCGCGTTGCCCAGCGCGACGTCGAAGAAGACGACGGGGTTGCCACGCCGGAGGGCTTCGCTCAGCACCGGGTCCATCTTCACTGGAATTGAAGCCTGCACTGTCAAAGATGGTTTTATTGCTTTACGGAGGTTTCTATGAGTATCGAAACATCCAAATATGCATTGTGACGGGTTTTCGCTTGACCTCCGCGACGCAGCTCCGCGACGCTCCTTTGCAGCCATGGGATCGTCAAACGCACGTCGAGCGCTTCGAGCGAGGTGCTATTATGCTGTACTTTGCTACTGCAGACAGTGTACCTGCGCCTGCGAGCCATCCCAGTGTCCACAATCATGCTCGGAACTCGACGCCAAGCACACTATTTGTTAACTTTTGAAATCTTGGTTTACACTATTTGTTACTTTTTTGGCTTGCGACTTGCGATGACGGCCAAGCCGCCGAGCCCGATCGACATTCCGCTCAAGAAGCTTCTAGGTAGGCGCCCATGCTGGCAGGACCTCGGAGGAACGATGCTACGTGGCCTCATGCGTCTCTCCATCGCGAGTAGCTCATGCGGTACTGACGAGGCAGTGCTGCGTAGAGGGCCTCATTGACCGCAAGATCGTGTCGCCGCAGTGGCAGGACCAGTTGCGGCCGGTGAAAGCTGCGATCGCCGAGGCTCTGGAGACCTTGCCGACACATGCCCAGCACATTGTGGCCGGCAAAGGTGCATAGTGCATCCCACGTCATCGTTCTTGCTCACAGCATACGTACTAGCGGCGGACGACGTGCTCTTCTTCGACTGCAAGGCGATGCTAGCGCACTTGGAAGCGTCCGACGAGGCGAAAGCGACCAACTTCTTTGGCCAAGTACGCTATCCGCCTACGTCGATGTTGCTCACACTTGCGGTCTAGTACACGTCGCCGGTTCTCAAGGCGTGGATGGCCATCACCAAGTCGTACGAGGTCCACGCTCTCTTTGCTGCCGAGGCCGCGCGTCGGCTCAACCAGGACGCCACGTTTGAAATGTATCCACGCGATCCACGTCCTATTGACTTATTTGGTTGCGTGCGTCTAGTCCCGCGCTGCGAAAAGCCATTGCGCTGCATGAAAAGCACGTGGGCGACAATCACCGCAAGATCGCCGTACGCTATCGACAACCTGTCCATCTCCTGACCGCTCTTACGGTGTAGGACTATACCAAAGGGATTTCCGAGTGCAATAAGGCATTTGCGGCCGCGTGCGCCGACCTTCAGATCCCGGGCTTTGACGTCCGCCTCGAGCTCCAAGCACTCGTGTACGACCTTCCCAGTCTCTTCCGCGGCGTCGCCGGCGTCCTCAACACGCCGACACTGCGTGACGCCGGAGCCTACCATGCGGCGCTGCAAGCGCATTTGCACGCAGCATCGTCGACGCTGCCGCCTGCGCTCTCGTCGCTTGACGCCTTCTGGGCCGCGCCCCTTGTGGAGCCGGCAGACGTGGCGCCCAGTGCGCCAAGCGAGGTGGTCGAGATCCAGTGGGACGCAACGGCCATCGAGCTGAGCGACGGCGGCATCGACTGGGGCAGCGACGACTCGGCGGTGATCAAGTGGGACATTTCATCTGTCGACACACAGGACGCGCCGAGTCGTAACGAGCTTGCAACGACGCAAGTCGACCAGCTTTTGCATGGCGAGACCCGCGCCAAGCTCACGAACGACCTCTTAGAGCTCCGCGCCTTCCTCTTGCAAGTACGTGTCCTGAAATTCGATGAAGGGCGACACCATGGTGGTTCTAGCGGCGCATCGAGCTGCAGACACCGGACGTTGCCTTTGCCAACCAGTTTCAGACAAGCGCCCGTACGGTGCGATGCGAGCGGTGCAGTACTCATTCTGTGACTTAGCCCTTCTCGCACAGCAAAGCGTCGAGAGCACGAAAGGGTACTTGGCAGCGGTCGACGCGGCCCTCGCCGCACTCCGTGAGAAGCGGCTGCAACACGTCTTGCTCATCAAGCTTTCACCTCGGTAGGGTACATTCCTACATGTTGTAGCTAATTCGTATGGTTGTAGCTACCTCGATCGCCTTGTGGCGACCCTCGAGCTGCACATGACCAAGGCTGAGAAGCTCCACGGCGCCATTCGGACCCTCGAAGACAAGAACAGTGAGCTCACCGATCTTGTCGCGACGAGCCACGCCAAGGTCCGAGAGCTCATGGCGTCGACCAAGAGCCTCCAAATGCAGCTCGAAACGTCATTGCCAACCCTCTTCAAGGGTCATCCCGTGCACATTTTAGGGGAACTCAACCGATTTTAACACACTATTTCTTGCACTCGATGCACAACGAGCAACGTGAGGAGCCACCACGGGACTTGAAGCGGCATGCTGACGCTAATGATGCGCATGTGAATGTCCGAGGCGCTGGCCCCGACAGAGACTTTGATCGGAGTCGAGCTGGGGGCTTGCGTCGGCGCCTCGGTCGCGTCGGCCTGTGCCGCTTGCTGGGCCTCGGCTTCTTGGATGAGCTCGTTGAGCTCGTCGTCGCTGGGCAAACCGAGCTCCTTGAGGTAGTCGTCATGGTCCAAGTCGATTTCAACCGGTCGGCGCGACGACGCCTCGGCGTGCCACGTCGGTATCGTCAAGTCGGGCTCGTCGCTCGTCGTATTGGTGGTATTCAGAGCCGTCACGGCGACGCTGGAGAGCGCCAGGAGCAACATCCACAGCACGTCGCGCAGCATGGGCAATTGCGTTTTGTGCGCAACGTGCCTTGTAGAAAGCTTGAAGAGGGACAGTGGAAGGGACCTATAAACGGGCCTCTCGAGAGACGGTCCATCGACCAAAGCTGGCGCGGGAGGAGGGCTATGGCTATATGCACCATGGCACCCGACGTCGTCGCGACTCGTACCGGTCGTGTATCGGTTCCTGCCTCATGCGCGAGGAAACGGTGCAGCGACGATCGAGTCATCGAAGGACGTCTCCGCGCATCGTCGCTACCGAGGGTGGTGCGGACGCCCTTGGTATATATATGTCACGGTCGTGAAGACGTGGATGCGTGTCTTGTTGAGGGAACCCGCCTACGACGGCGCCTTGCGCAGAGCCCGTCGGCCACCGAGGCATGCAGTCTAGTACTCTGTAGGTGGCTCCATGGCGTACTAGCGTGCATGAGATTCCGCGACATGCAGCCGAAATGAGCTGCAAGGCAGCCGTCGCACCAAGACAAGAAAGGGTTGAAATACGCAGCCTGATTTGTGTTAAGTAGTGACGACAAAACGAGCTAGTCGGCGAGGGCAAGGTCCAGCCGCTTCCAAGGAAACTCGAGGTCGTCGTTCGCAACGGCCTTGGCGGGTACAGGGGCCGGTGCGCGAGCGCTTTCCGCCGCTGGAGGCTGGCGGGCACTCTGCATCGCAGTAAGCCGGGTGGTTGGCGCCGGTCGCGGCACCGATTCCTTCATTTGCGGCGGTGCCACTGTGGCACGTGGACGTGCCGGTGACCCGGGCACCGTTGTCGGCATGAGCTTCCCGAGCCACGGGCGACTTGTCGTCGTGTTGGATGCGTTGCTCCCAACCACAATCTCTGCGTTCGGGGCGGCCATGGGCACGAGAGCTGCGCCACTTTGACTCGACGAGCTCGATCCCGACGAGCCATCAGACAAGCCAGAGCTGGCCTCGGACGAGCTCGCACTCGGTGCTTGCATGGCTTCAAAGCGACTCTGGGGTGTTGGCGCGAATGACGTAGGAGCCGTCGCCTGCGCCGGGGTTGGCTTGGCTGCCGCTGCGGAACTCGGCGGACTACGGGCGGCCTCGAAGGCTGGTGTCGCACGTGGCGCCACGGCTGGCGGCGGCGAAATGCTTGCCGGCGCGGGCGTTGGACGAGCCACACGAATGATCTCGGACGACAGCTTGGTCGTATTCACGCCCAGGTTGAAGCCAGGAAGGCCGGGGAACCCTTGCCCTAGCGCGCCGCCAACCACGATACTGGCGAGCAGAGCGCAGAGAGAGTAATATCGCATCGTGTTGTCGGACCGGGTAGGTTGGTATATGTGAGTATGGACGCCAAGTGCGACCTGCCACCGATGTTGCCGTAGGCGGGCCAGCCCAGAGACGAGCCATCGTGGTATCTTGGTTCGTGACATTACACAAAAAAAGTGTTAATTTACACTATTTCATGCTCCCGAACGTTCTGTGTTCCTTGTGGTGGCTTTTTGCAGCGTCCGATTGGCTAAAAAGAGATAGGTCCTGGGTTGCGATTGGGTGGGAAATTCCTACGGGCACTAAGAACTTGGCGATCTTTCAGCATTCTTGGTTTCAACGGGCTCAGCACAATAAGATGGCCCAGTCGTCGTCGTCGGCGCCCCGGAACCTCTCGCGGCAGGACTTCAAGCACGCCAAGCGCATCGTCATCAAGATGGGCACGAGCGTCGTGTCATCGAACGGCGAAGCGGCGCTGGGCCGCGTGGCGTCGATCGTCGAGCAAATCTCAATGCTCAAGCGGCAAGGCAAGGAGGTGCTGCTCGTGACCTCGGGCTCGATCGGCGTCGGGCGCAAGAAGCTGCAGAAACAAATCCTTCTCTCGTCATCGCTGCGCATGCACGTGCAAGGCGACAGCAACATGAACCGCATGCTGGAGAAGAAGAAGGGCGCAATGGCGGCCGCGGGCCAAGTCGGCCTCATGTCGCTCTACGAGACGCTCTTTTCGCTCTACGACGTGGCCTGTTCGCAGGTACAGCGCCCATGCGTCATTTTTGGCCGGTGCGTCATGCGCACATATCTTGTAGGTGCTCGTGACCGAGTCGGACTTCAAGACGAAGGAGCACCGCGCCAACATTCGCGACACGCTGCTCCATTTGCTGGACCTCGACGTGATCCCGATCGTCAACGAGAACGACGCGGTGAGCGCCGGCGTCTATCGCGAAGGCCAGTCGGTGTTTACCGACAATGACTCACTCGCCGCGCTTGTCGCAAGCGAGATCCAAGCCAACTTGCTCATTCTGCTCACGGACGTCGACGGTCTCTACGACAAGCCGCCGAGCGAGCCAAACGCCAAGGTCATTTCGATTTTTGCGCCCGAGCAACCCGGTCAATTTGTCATTGGTACGCAGTGGTATGAATGACGGCGCAGGCAGCTCATAGGCTGGTCGCTTAGGTGAAAAATCATCGGTCGGCCGCGGTGGCATGGGCGCCAAGATCCAATCGGCCCAGGGCGCGGTCGACAGTGGCGTCAACGCCGTCGTGATTGCAAGCGGCTTCAAGTATGGCGTGCTGGACGCGATCATGAAAGGCGCGAACCTCGGGACGCTCTTTGTGCCGTACCCGGAGCTTCTCCTCGAGCACAAGGCGTCGGCCGAGGACTTGGCGATTGCGGCGCGCGAAGGGAGTCGCGCGCTTCAAGCGCTCTCGTCGTCGGACCGCGCTCAGATTCTGCGGCGCATTGCCGCGTCGCTCCTAGAACACGCCGATGCGATTTTGCAAGCCAACCAACTCGACTTGAACGACGCCAACAATGTGGACGTGGCCTTGCGCGCGCGTCTCAAGCTCACTAAGCCGAAGCTCGAAACCCTCGCCAAGGGCATTTGCGCGATTGCCGACCAGCCCGAGCCCGTTGGCCGCGTGCTCTCGACCATGGAGATTGCCCACGGCTTGGTGCTCGAGCAGCTCACGTGCCCCATTGGCGTGCTTTTGATTGTGTTTGAGTCGCGCCCCGACTCGCTGCCGCAGATTGCAGCGCTAGCGCTCCGCAGCGGCAACGGCCTGCTGCTCAAGGGCGGCAAGGAGGCCAGTCGCAGCAACCACATGTTGCACGCGCTCATTTGCGACGCGATCGAGTCGGAAACCAAGGGCCGCGTGCCCCGGGGCGTGCTCGGGCTCGTTGCGACGCGCGACGACGTCTCGGAGCTTTTGCAGCTGGACCACGTGATTGATTTGTGCATTCCGCGCGGCTCGAACGCGCTCGTGACGTTTATCAAGAAGCACACGCGGATCCCGGTGCTCGGCCATGCCGAGGGCGTCTGCCACATGTACATTGCGGCCGGCGCCAGCATGGACAAGGCGCGCGCGCTCGTGCTCGACGCCAAGACGGACTACCCGGCCGCCTGCAACGCGCTCGAGACGCTGCTTGTTGATGTATCGCACGTCGAGTCGGGCGCAGTGCACCACCTCGTCGAGGCGCTCCACGATGCCGGCGTCAAGGTGAATCTGGGCCCGGACGCGGTCCGACGCAACTTGGTGCCGGGCGCCGAGCCCGCGCCGTCGCTCTCGCACGAGTATGGCAGCTTGGCGCTGACGCTCGAAGTCATTTCGACCGGCGTCGACGGCGCAATTGCGCACATCAATGCGCACTCGAGCGGCCACACGGACACCATTGTGACGGACGACGTGGCCGAAGCCGAACGGTTCCTCAACGGCGTCGACAGCGCGTGCGTGTTTCACAATGCGAGCAACCGGTTTGCCGACGGCTTTCGGTTTGGGCTTGGCGCCGAGGTTGGCATTTCGACCGGGCGCATTCACGCCCGCGGCCCCGTCGGCGTCGAAGGCCTCTTGACGACCAAGTGGAAGCTCCGGTCCCAGTCGGTCCACACGGTCACTGCGTTTGCAAATGGCCACGCAACGTATACGCACAAGCGTCTAAGCAAGTTGTAGACTGAAAGTAAAGAGCCAGTTTTGTACATTTTCGCAAGCGTCCGTGGCAGAAGCCAAGCGGACCCTAGCCCCATAAGAGTGACGCGTCCACCTGTAGCCCCATAAGAGTGACGCACCTCGAGACGACCGCAAGCCATCAGCGAATCGACTCGAGTTCTGCTGACACGGGACGACCGACACACTGCTGTGTGAGTGCGAGGGTAGGTGCGCGAGACGGATCAACCTGACCGGTGTGGTTAGGGGTCGGGTGAAAAGCGCACCGGTTCAGACGGGTTGTGCTCATTTCTTGACCCAAGTTTCTCGCACAGCTGAACCTGCTGCGGTGCGAGTGTGTGGCAAGCGCTTGTTGCAGGAGACGGGAGAACCTAGTCTATCTAATCTCGGAATGATGCTGATCCTCAGATTGCATGGGTAAAGTGGGAAGAATCAAAAATACGGATAGAATCAACGATAAATAAACACGCAAAGAGGACGCTAAAAGGTCATCTCGCGGGGAAGTGGCTTCCCAGTGGCATCGAGAGCGGGTTCCGACGCCCGCGCTGCCATGATCGAGAGGCGCATCTCGTACGTCTCGGGAGGGTGGTCCAAGAGGCTTGGGACACGGAGCGCGACGCCGCCGTAGCTCCCGCGGTGCGTCGTGTCGACGCTGATGGACCCGCGCGAGCTCTCAAACACGAGCGACGACCGCTGAACCGGCGACGCTTCGACGATCGCTGAGGGGTTGGCGTCCACGAGCTGCGACAAGCGCTGGGAGCCGAGGAGCGTCGACTCGAGGCGTGTGATCGACGCTTCAATCGCGTCGTCGAACGGCGTCCAGATCGGCGGCGACCCACTCGGGCTTTTTTCGTTGCTCATCGTCGCCAGACGGTGCTTGGCGTGCATGCCGAGCATGATGCAGGCGCCGAGCAGTCCGACGGCGGCGATGACACCACCAACGACACCGAGGACACCGCCACCGACACCTTTTGGCTCCATAGATGGACTCGCCGGACTTGGCACTGGCGTGGCCACGCTCTCTTGCGGTTTGAAAATCGGAGCAGTTGTTGGGTTCGACGGCAAGGCCACGATTGGACGCGTTCCGATGGGAGCCATTTTGGGCGGCGCTTCCGTGACCGAGAGCGGTGCGATCGAGGGAGTCGCCTCGACGGCGACTATAGCAGCATCGGTCGTTGGGGCTGCCGACCACGGCGTCGGCGTTACTGTTCGCAAAAGCGCCGTCATCACCGGCGGGGTCGTTCCTGGTGTGCTCGTTGGTGCGGCTGGCGGTGGCGACGGTGCTGGCACCGTCGTTGCAACAACCGTCGTGTTGGGAAAGGTGATGGTCTGGGCGAAAGCGGCATGGGCGAGCGGGACGAGCAAGCCCAGTCGCATGTTGCTCGAAGGAGGCAATTGTGAGACTGTTCCTATCACGACTGGGATCGCACCGCTTCAACTTCGTCGATCCACGCGTTTGGTTACCATTCAATCTTAAATTGTGCGTATCTGGTTAGTAGCCCGACTATTAGGAACAAAAGATAACCGGGAGTGATCTTTGCAAGATGGATTCAAATGAAACGTCTCGTTTGACCTGCAGCTTGGGAGTTCGAATACAAACGAACAATGCAGTTGCAACTTTCTCGTTGGCAAATGCGCAACGAATAAAAAAGCCGCGGGAACCTGAGCTCATTTTTCGATTGACGAGCGAGCGTCCGAGGCGGCGGTCCCCGTTCGGTTGTATTTGCCCGTGCTCTCCTCTGTCCAACAAAGATGGAAGACAGCTCAGTGCGCTACAGTGTACACTGGCGCTATCAGCCGCGACTATCAGCAAGCAAGGTTGTGCCAATGCTGCTTGGAAGCATTAACGTTTAACTGTTGCGACCGTGCGCACACATACAAAAAAGAGTACACCGGTCGAGTAACCTCGTCATTGACACAGCCCACGCAAGCGAGAATTCGGCCCACCAGACAAGCAAGCATCAAAATGGTCGTGGATCACGTGCTTCGTCCCACAAAGAATAAAGCAAAAAGCAAAAGCAAATATCCCCAAATTCATTTGCAAATGACACAAGATTGATGGCATCCTGACGCAATGTCGAGCGATCCGCATCACGCCCTTCTTGATGATAAACGTCGTCGCGTTACATGATACTCTGTGCCTTCCGGTGGAGACAACAACATTGTATCTTGTGACGTGGGGACGTGAGACTGTGCAGCACACCACGCACTAAACAACACCTACCCACGCTACTTGCTGATCGATCCCATACATTCCTTTAAAAGTGTTGGTGCATCGTAAACATGCTTTGGTGATATCAAGTCCCCAGGATTTTGCCGCGGTTCGAGCCCTGCGATCGCCGTGGTTCGACTCGTTAAAAGGCGATAGACTTGCCGCTGTAACTGGTGCCGCAAGCACGAGCGACATGCCAGAGCCTGTCAGCGCAATGTCTATATGGTCCGAACCTTTGGAGGTCTTGCTTGTATACTTTCTCTGGCGGCGCAATCACCGACTGGGGCACCAAAAAGTTACGGTCGTCCTGGGGTAATCCCATAGGGTAGTTTATTCTGCATGAATCGACGCGTGCGATCTGTGCAGTCGGTTATCATCTCCGAAACTGCACATGCGACCACCGTCATCCATGGTGCGCTGACAAAGTCAAACATCAAACGGCTTCTGATCTACTACCGGGGCACATGCCGGGGTACTGCTGCGGTCGTCGCGTCGTCTGAGACTGGTCACATGGGTCGTTTATGTCGGCGGCAGCGATAGGCGGTGGGTGGTGGTTGCCGCGCACTTCTACGCTACGCGATGCACACGATGCATGACGCATCGCAGCTCGTCGTAGGGATAACGTGGTGCAACGTACCGGGTGGAGCTAAAAACACGCCCCTTGCAGTGGTCGAGTATCTTCTTGACCGCGCCCCGCGACCGATTTGATAACGATCCCGATCGCTCGACAAAGATCGCGTCGGGCGTCGCCGTTGCCGGTGCTTGGTGCCGCCTGGGTACCTCATCGAGGTGAAAGCCACCCAACGCATATCGGTGGCGCCGCGACCAGCGAAAGCGCATCCCTGTCTTTGTTGCCCGTGGGCCTCAACAGGTCAAGTCGACTTCTTTAAGGCAATCGTTTCGTGCGCAGCCAATCACATGGTGTCTTTTGGTATCTGACGGCTGCGACCCATTGCAGTTACGGGATTAATCCCAGCCTCGTTCATGTCGCACCATATCAATTCGCTGACATGAGTACGCTGACAAGGCAGCCATTGGCTTGCGGCTCATTTCCACATTCGCCATGACCTGCGCGCCCGAGCCTGTTCGGCCGCTTGCGGTCGCACTCGTGCTCTGCGTCTTGCTCTCCGACATTCTCTTTGCCGGCCTCATCTTTGGCTGGGCACCGCTGCTCCTCCTGCTGCAAGAAGAGGACCAGTACGGCGAGGTGTGCACGACGCGCGACGCCAACGGCCGGTGCGCCGACCAGGACGCGCGACTCAACATGATGTACGCGATCGCAACCTTTGCCGTCAACGTCATCTCGCTGCCCGTCGGCACCATGCTCGACTTTGTGGGCCCGAAGCGCGCCATCATGGTCGCCGCTTGCCTCGAGATTCCGGGCCTTGTGCTCCTTGGCCTCGCCGACTCCAAGTCGTTTGACGTGTTTGTGCCCGCGTACTTGCTGCTCGCGATGGGCGGCTGCATCACGATGATGGCGTCGTACCCTGCGAGCTTTCTCATTTTGTCGCACCAAACGACGATCCTGGCGAGCATTAGCTGCCTCTTTGACAGCTCGAGCGCGATTTTCCTCGTGCTCTACACGATCCACGAGACCGTCGGCTGGTCGCGCGACAGCCTCTTCATTGGCTACGGCGTGCTCAGCGTCCTAGTCTACATTGCGCTCATTGGCCTTTGGCACGTCAACGAAGCGTACCTTCCGACGAGCGAGCCCGTGTTGGATGAAATCGCGGCCGAGCGCTCGACGGTCGCCTCGCCGCTGCTCGAAAACGCTAGCCACGCGTACGGCAGTGTCGAGACCAAGGAGCTTTTGCCGCGCATCGAGGTGCGACCTGCATTCGAGCAGGAAGCGCTCTGCGACTACCCGCTCTCCAAGCAAGTCCGGACGTTCGAGTTTGCCTTCATCTTGGTCTTTACGAGTCTCCACATATTGCGCGCCAACTTTTACATTGGCACGACCAACAACTTGCTTGAAAACTATGGCGACGCGGGCCACGGCTACATGTACACGAAAATCTTTGGCTTTGTGCTGCCCATGGGCTTTCTCTTTGTACCGGGCATCGACTACTTTGTCGACAAGAAGGGCCTCCCGATCTCGCTCCATTTCACAACGTGCTTGGGCCTCGCGTCCAACCTCCTCGCGCTCCTCCCAATCTTGCCGCTCCAGTCGCTCGTGTTTTTCATCTTTACGGGCTTCCGTGCCTTCTTGTATGCGGTCATCGCGGCCTTTGCAGCCAAGATCTTTGGCCTCGCCAACCTCGGCACGATCGTCGGCCTCATCTTTACGTCCGGCTCGCTCGTTGGGCTGCTGCAAATCCCCGCCGTTGCCTACTCGCTCGACATCAACGACTTGGCGCCCATGTACATTGTGTCGGCCCTCCTCGCGCTTGTGCTCGTGCCGCTCACTGAGGTGTACCGCCGCCGCGCGGCCGCGCGGGCCCGCCGCCACCTCGTCGCGTCCGAGTCGCCGTTTATGGACATGAAGGGCATGCAGTACCGCCGCTCGCCGTGCTTGCCGTCGCCGGCCGCGCGCAGTGGCCGCCGCCAGTCGCATCGCGACGTCGACGTGTAATAGATCCTAGACGCTTTCTTCTATTCCTACAAATATTGTGTGCGTTGTGTTCTTAAGACGACGCAATTTCGAGTCTCCTGCGCTACGCAATATACCGGTGTGGGCGACGAAGGGCTGCTCGTCGAGACTGGAGGCTGCTACCTGCAATTGCATACGATGCTGGCTCTGTAAGGCCTGGCATGGACAAGTGGAGATGCTCTAGATATGCGTTGTCTGTGTGCCGATAGCGCTGCTGGTGATCCTTACAGTCGCCTGCTACACGCGCAATAGGACCGTGTCTCACAGAGCTACAGCACTGTCCATCGTGAGTGCAACACCAGAATGGAGGCGGTGTGCCCTTGTTGCTGAAGGCGGTCGCTGCGACCTCGATGGAGCCCGAGGTATATGGAGGAACAGTGTACATGTAGAGTTGGTATTGTGTTGGTATTGTGAGGATAAATCTGTCGTGGTCGACGCGCACCTTCGATTGGCGCGCGTCGCCGCCACGTATACATAGGATGATTAGGCGACGCGCCTTAGAGCTCGGCGGTGCGTGCGCGGAAGAGGCGCGGCGGGGTCGTCGTCGTGACGCTGTGGTGCGCGCGCGGTGGCAGCGTCGGCTGCGGCAGGAACGCCGGTGCCGAAGCAGGCACGGTTGTCGATCGCGTGAGCGGCGGCGCGGGCAGTATGACTTCGGCAAAGTTGTGTTTGTTGAGCTTTGGCAGCGTCCCGACCGTCTGCGACCGCGTCGGGCGGTTTACGATGAGGAGCGGGCACCCGAGCGTCGCCTGGACGTTCTCGAGCTTGCGCATGACGCGCGAGGTCTTGGGCTTGGGCGCATCCGGCGTCGGCGAGCAGTAGCGCAGCGCGAGCGTCTCGCGGTGGAGGTCCGGCGCCATCTCGACTCTTCAATAAAGTTGACAACTGGCGTTCGGCGGCGATTTCGAGGGTAAAGGTCGAACACCAATTAAAACCATATGGTGGAAGATCGCCGCGCGGCATGGAGAACGCATCGCGCCCGATCCACACGTTCCGTCTGCCTCTCCGCGGCCATTCGCACAGATCGTCCAAGTACCAGGTCGACGGCGTGGGCCTCGCGACGCACTGTTGAAGCATGTTCTCAACGCCGCGGTGATGCATGTCTTTGGCGTCGGCACGGGCATGGACGGGCGCGGTGCGTCGAACGGGTGGAGTACTATCTAAGCGAATTCGGCCCACGAGACAGACCGCGACGATGGAGACAGCCTGGACGCTTTGCTTTTGGCTCGTGGCATTCGTAGTACTACTCCAGTTCTATTGGCAGGCTCGCAGTCCTCGCCGCAGCTGAGCCTGGCAGTAGCTGCAGCGGAGAGCTCTGGAGCTTCTGGGGCTCACATCTCACCACGGGTTGCTACGGACTTCCGGAGATCGTCACGCATTTGGCTGTGCTTGGTGAATACCCGTTGAAGAGCGCCCACCTGGTGGTTTGGTTGACAATTACTGCAGAAATGAGAGCGGGATCGAGGGCTGAACGTCCAATGCTGCAGTGCATGACAAGGGTAGCCTCGAACTGATGCCACTGCAGCTGAATCACAGCGCGGAAGGTGTTCAAAAGGCTGCTGCAGAACATCATCGGCTTTCTCAGCAAGATGCCATGATAGGCACACACTATTACAGTATTTATGAATTTTATACACTCTATTTTAGAATGCTGAGATATACTGTGACGATGCACCTGGAAGTTCACTGTTCCCCCAAGATGCAACTACGCAGCCGAGCCGTTGCCGAGTCCAAGCACATTGTGCGCACCGTGCGCTCGCCGCGGTTCGCGAGCTCCAAGCGCGGAAGCGAGGCTGCGCCAAAGCTAGAGCCTAGCGCGACCAAGGTACACGTCAAGCGCGAGCCGCTGATCAAAGCGGAGCCCGAACCTCCAACGACGCCCAAGACGCCAACGACGCGGTCCAAGCGCAAGGCCAAGGTCGAGCCATTACTAGCAGACGAAGCAATCCCTCTCGAGAAGCTTGGGATTCATGACGATGTGGCCAAGCCGCCCGATGGCGATGTCAAGGTCAAGAAGCAGAAGGCCGAGCGCGCAAACTGGGAGCAAGTGTGGGACGGCATTGCGTTCATGCGCGCCGAGCGCACGGCTGCTGTCGACAACCAAGGTTGCGAGGTACTTGCTTTGATACCATTCTCCGCTGATGTCCTTTGTCTCGCCTAGTCGTTCAACGACCCGTCGCTGGCCCCTCCTCTTCGCCGCTTTCATGTGCTCGTGGCATCCATGCTAAGCAGCCAAACCAAAGATCCGGTCACGGCTGCCGCCATGGAGCGTCTCAAGAAGCACGGTACTACCAATTCTGCTCCTTTGATCGATGGCGACTCACGCATGCACAGGGCTCACGGTGGCCAACATCCTCGCCACCGACGGCAACGAGCTCGCACAGCTCTTACGCCCCGTGGGCTTCTTCAACAACAAGGCCACGTACCTCCACAAGACTTGTAAGCGCATCGTGATGCCATATGCTCAAGCACGAGTAGGCGCCATTCTGCAGGACAAATACGACTCGGACATTCCGCCAACGTTTGACGAACTCATGGCGCTACCCGGCGTCGGGCCCAAAATGGCCCATTTGACCATGTCGGCTGCCTGGGAAAAGTACGCAAGTCGGTAGTCAACTCGGGATGACCCATGGCGATAGGACCGTCGGTATCTGCGTGGACGTGCACGTGCATCGCATCTCGAACCGCCTCGGGTGGGTCAAAACGTGGAACAAGCAAAACCCCAAGAGCCAAGACCCCGAAAAGACGCGCAAGGTACTCGGACGATCTCATAGCGCACGCTCAAAAGAGCTGTAGGAGCTCGAAGACTGGCTTCCGTACGACAAATGGAACCCTGTGAATGCGATGCTCGTCGGGTTTGGCCAAGAGGTCTGTCATCCACTGAACCCGCGCTGCGACGTCTGCACCGTCTCGCACTTGTGCCCGTCGGCGTTCAAAAAGGTGTCCCCGTGAGAGCCCCTGTTGATACATTGATACTGCAAAAAGCGAAAACAAGGGATTTAAATACAGACCGCGGCAAAGACCGCCGCGACCGCGAGGGACGCGCCGGTTTGAACGCGCCCCGTCGTGATCGCAGCCTTGGTGTTGGCGAGCTCTTGGGCTTCGGCGCTGAGCGCAAAGCAGATGACGCACGGCTTGATGGTCTGGCGCATGAGCGTCGAGATCTGCTCGAGCGAGAGGTACCGCGTCTGGATGCCGTTGATCGACTTGAGTTCAAAAAACGAGTTGACGCCAGCGCGCTCGAGGACGCCGTTGGCGGGCACGGCCTTGACGAGCGGCGGCGGCGGCGGCGCAATGAACTCGAGCGACTGCGTGCGGCCGGCTTCGTGGCCAATCTTGAGCTCGCGCATCGCAAAGTCAAAGTTGCGCTCCCATACCGATTGACCGTTCACGCTCAGAAGAATGTAGCCCGGCGCCACGTCGTGTTCCTTGCGCGACGTGCGCTTGACTACGACCTTGCGCGTCGCTTGCTCAATGCCAAAGGTAATGCCCACGGAGCCTTCGCGCCACAGGATCATAATGGGCTTGAGCTCCTTGAGGCGCGGGCGCTGCAGCTCGAGGCCAAGCGGCTCGCCGCACCAGTTGTACTCGACGTGCGTCGGATCGTCGCCGTCGCCAAGGAAGAACGTCGAGCAGTTTGCCTCACGCCGAGGTGCCGGCGCGGGTGCCGGCGCGGGTGCTGGCGCAACCGGCGCGCCCTCGAGCTCTGGCGAGTTGGAGCGCGAGAGTGGCATACGCGGGGAAGTGATTGGAGACGTCGCCATGCTCTAGTCGTACGAGGTCGTAGCGATCGGGCAACCGTGTTTTTGAAAATAGAACGTGGGCGACGGCGCTGACAAACGAGTGCGGGTCCTACCAAATACAATCGAACGTTGCGTCGCGATCAAATTGTTCTTTGTATTTCAGCATCTTCCACTTGTGTATTGTATGCACAGTAGAAAAACATATTAATATTGTACGGGGGGTGGCCTTTTTGCGTAATGGGGGGTCCCATCGACGGCGAGTTCTGCCCGTGAGTAACTTGGTGCTCTTGAAGAAAGGCGGCGGATGCAAGTGGCGTGGCACGAGCGCGAGAAACGAAGGACCTGAAATCTCCGTTTGTGCAGTCTCGACTGGCGTCATATTCGAGGCAGGCGGCCATGCACGTAAGCCTGCGTGTTGTTAATGCGGCGATTCCGAGCTCGTCCTGGCTTTATTGGCTGGAGGAACCGACGAGGCATCTCGCCATACGCAAACATACAGCGAGTCGATGAGATGCGCAGTGCAATCGCGACACGCAGCAAAGCGTTCTCACCCGATCGTAGTAAGCTTACAAGAGCTGGCGCGGAATGAAGTCGAGCGACATCTTTTGCGTCGCCATCGGCCGAGGCGTGTGCTGGACCGACGTTCGATTTGGGCGGTCGTGTCGTCGTTCAAGAGGCGCTGTGAGACAGCCATCGAAGTCCGTATTGTGTCGAAAGATTCAGAGCTGTTGGATTGACGGTTGAATCTTAACTCTATGATTTGATTGGTTGCTCGGATGCATTGCGTTCTTGTGATTGGCTGTCACTTGATACTTTGAGGTGGGACGCTCGCCACACACGCGTTTTGCGACCAAAGATGCGTTGTCTGCGCCGATACGGCAGTGTAATCTGTGCCAATGGCGTCGACTGGCAGTGCGTCGACGACATGGAGCCGATCGCGTAAGCTTGCAGAGACCTTGCGCTCTTCTGGAGCGTTCGGCTTGGAATATGGCGGAAATCGACAAGGTGCTTGCGCACCTCAACACGCCATCTCTGCTGTACAAGTCTAGATTAGCTTGAGCTTTCACAAGTAGTAGGAAGTACATCGATGGAACTCTGGTGTCATGACAACATATTTTGGTCGAGTTGGCGGGAACCTCCGAGACGTCGCCGTGTCGTCTCAACTCTAGCCGGTTAGATTACGTTAACCGACTATAGTCTCGACTTTCGAATAACGGTTACCAACCGCTTGTAAACCGTGCCATAGATTTTTGACACGAAGCTGCGTCATGGCTCCGTGCGGCTGCTGTTCAACGACGATGGCCGACTATGTGCTCTACGCTCTCGCTCTGGCCGCGCTCTGGCTCATCTATGGCGGCTTTATCCGCTCGCTGCCTGCGTCGGCGCCTCGCCATCCGCGCAAGGTGGCCTTTCTGCATCCCGACCTCGGGATTGGCGGCGCCGAAAACCTCATCGTGAACGCCGCCGTCGCGCTGCAGTCCAAAGGCTACGTCGTGCACCTCTTCACAGCGCACCACGACAAGGGTCATTGCTTTGAGGAGACGCGTGGCGACGGCCCACTCGCGCGCTTCGTCGTAGTGTATGGCGACTGGCTGCCGCGGACGATCCTCGGGCGCATGTACGCCGCGTGCGCGTTTGTCCGCATGCTGTACATTACGCTGCGACTGGCGCTGCAGCAGTGGGACGCCGACGTCTTCATCGTCGACCAAGTCGCGCTGCCCGTGCCGTTTCTGCGCGCGTTCTTGGGGCGCCCCGTGTACTTTTACGGGCACTACCCCGACAAGCTCCTCTGCACGGATCGTTCGTCGCCCATCAAGCAGCTGTACCGGTGGCCGCTCGACAAGCTCGAGGAAGTCACGACCTGTAGAACGCGCGCGCTTTGCACTTTGTCTCATGTCGTCCTCGGTAGATGCGGCCGACACGATCGTCGTCAATAGCAAATTCACGGCGTCCGTCTTCCAAAGTGCGTTCCCATCCTTGGCGTCGCGGCAGCTGAGCATTCTGTACCCGCCCGTCAACCTCGCCGACTTTGCGTCCGCGCCGCCGCCACATAGCGACGCGCAGCTGCAGTCGTTGCTCGCCCACAAGTGCCTCTTTGTCTCGCTCAACCGGTTTGAGCGCAAGAAGAACATTGCGCTCGCACTGGACGCGCTCGTCGCGCTGCGCACCCGCATCGAAGCAAACGTCTTTGCCTCAGTGCACCTCGTGATCGCCGGCGGGTACGACCCGCTCAACGTCGAGAACGCCGAGCATCTCCGCGAGCTTCAGGCGCACGTGGCCGCGCACGACTTGGCGTCGCATGTGACCTTTTTGACGTCGATTTCGAATGCGACCAAGCTCCACCTGCTCTTGCAAGCGCGCGCGATCCTGTATACGCCGAGCTTTGAACACTTTGGCATCGTGCCGGTGGAGGCCATGGCCTGCGGCACCCCGATCGTCGCCGCCAACACGGGCGGGCCGCTCGAGTCGATCGTGCACGGCGTCACGGGCTTTCACTGCGCGCCGACGGGCGAAGCGTGGGGTGCTGTGCTCGCGATGCTGGTCGAAAATGCCAACGGTCTATGCGCTACCCTCGGTGCTGCGGGCAAGCAGCGGGCGGCCGACCTCTTCTCGCTCGACGCGTTTGCCGAGACGCTGGACCGGGACATGCAAGCGCTCGCCGGCAAGTCCAAGACCAACTAAGATTTGTCACCTCTGGTCGTCGTTGTCGTGTGAAAGTGAGAATGAGCATGCTGTCGGTCATGCGATCCGAGCGTGTTGGTCGACACACAACGCTCATGGTAGTCGGGTGTTGATAGCATCTTATTGGATGGCACAGAGGCCGCAGAAATGACACGACCGCGTCGACGCAGTCGCGTGCGCCGACTCGTCCTCTTTGCACTGTGCGACGTATTTCTGCAGCATGGGCGCGTTCTCGTAATAGTGCTTGCTCTCGAAGCGCACCTCTTTAATGCGGTCCGAGTTCATGAGCTCCTGCACGGGCACCGTGCCATAGTCCTTGTAGCGTTCCTGCATGAAACAAAAAATCAATAAATAATTCGAGGAAAATGAGTTGAGGACCTTGGGGTTCACGGGCGGCAGCTTGAGGTACGTGCAGATCGAGTTGCACCGGTGCGAGTGCAAAAACTTCTGAAACCCGAGTGCGCCGAGGTTGCCTTTCCCAAAATCGTGGCCGTTGAGTGTGTGAATCTACGTTTCAGCTTGATACGTTGATAATATACAATGGATGACTACCTGTGGGTCGGTGTACCGGTCGCCGACGCCTTGGATGTCGACGGCGAGGAGCTCGTGGTTGGACACTTCGTATGTAAAGTGCGAAAAGGCCTGCGGCGTGTTGCGCTCTTCGTCGCTGACGCTACCAAAATTGTTGTTGTGCTTGCGGTACTCGCCGGGGATGTAGCGCTCGACGGCGCAGAGCGCGCCGCTCCTACAACATGGCATTTCAATCACGAGCACACTCCTAGTCGCTCGATGTACCGCTGCTTGAGCTCGAGGACCCACGCTTCGATGAACTCGACGCGCTTGGGCGGCTTGTACTCGTTGTACATATTCGCGTAGTGGGCGCAGTGGGCTTGGAGCTCAATGTCGCGAAAGTACGTCTCTGGGTCCTCGTCTGGGTCGATCGCGACCTTGGCGACATACGTGGTCGCGGCTTCGGTGATGTCTTGGAGATGGTACACGAGCCGGAGACTGCCCTTTGCGAACGGCGTCTCGTCCAGCACGATCGTCACCTAGACGAGGAGGATGCGTGAGCTCGTCATCGAGGTTGGAGACGTTAAAAGCTCTACCTTGGAGGTTTCCCATTGCCGCGTTGTATAGTTGAACGTGTGTCGAATCGCGTCTTCGGGGACGAGGCCGCCAAAGTTGGGCGGGTGCGCGACGATGAGCGGGAGGCCCGCGCCGGGCTGCAGCGCGCCCCGGCCGCCTATCCGGCGCGGGTACGTGAGCTCGTCGATGATAGCTTTCTTCCGCCGCTGGAACTCGTCTTCGTCAATGAAGCCTTGGTCGCGCAGCACCGAGAGCGTCGCAATGCGCGACACGACGCTGTTGTCGTCGCTCGACGCCGTCGGCGCAATCTCGGTTGGCGTGACCGTCGACCACACCATGGTCTCGTCGATCGACCGCTGGTGCGTGCGCAGCACCGTGGCTTGGAGGCAGGGTACCTCGTCGACGGTAGCGGCCTCGCCCGCGTCCTGCATCGGCTCGACGGGCGCGCCAATGTCGGCGGGGAACGTGTTCATCTTCATGGCCTGGTTCTCGGCCGTGCGCTGGCCCGAGATGCTGTACATGTGGGCGCTCGAGCTTCGCAGGCGGTTCAACGCTCCCTTCTCCATCGCCCGCTTCTCTGCGGTACTACGCACCCGTCGTCTTGCTGTCGCTAGCCAGCTTGCCCTAGGGCAGCAAGATACTTGATGCTTCGAACTTCGCCTCGAAGCGTAGTCCAGTATACAAACGCCAAGAGCCACCCTTTTTGGCACCAATCGTAGACGCTACCAGCCACTAATTGCACGCAACCGACCGCAGCCGCCACCGCCATTGCGCAGCTGCGGTGCGGCGGGTTGACCCAAGACGGCTCGTGTCGATCTCCTCGCAGTCAAAATGACGACATGTGGGAGAGGGATTTGATGGGAAATCCTGAAGATGGGCAGCTCTTGGCGCGCTATGCATGCTTAGCGCCATATATATTGGCTGGAGCGCATTTGGTCGGGTTGTAGAATAGCTACACGACACTTGTCTATGGCTTGTACGGACAACCTCACAACCCTGGTCGAAGCGCGACAGAGCCTCGTGTGGTTCGCTGCCTCGGCTGCTCGTGGGCGGCAGATGCCAAGTTGAGTGTTTTATATATCACTTTTTGTTGGCCGCTTTCGATCACCTCTTTTTGGCAATTTGGTTCATTCACAACACGTTCGATCGATCGTTCGGCAGCCTTTCCATCGCGAACGAGCTCTTCGCAGATCCGGTGATGGCGTCAGGGCCTAAAGACAGGCCAACGGGCACTGTCTGAGCAATGGCGTCAACGACACCGCAGTGAACGCGTTCCGTCATGCACGCACTACCGGCACGTGGACAAGGACAGGCACGTAACGTGAAAGGGGCCTGCATGATGCTGCAGGCACCTTGGGGCGGGATTCGATTTCGACGCTTGAAGTTCAATCGCAGCTGCGCACAGCGCGACGCTTGTGGCAGCCGCTGAGGCCTGGCTCTGACGCCCTGATCTAACGTTAATGGATCCATTCGCTCGGAAGCGGAGGCTCGGGGTCGCCTCCACTCTCAACCTGTTACTTCAATGATCATTTCTTTAGCAAGCTAGCTGAGCGAGCTCCTTCTGTGTGCTGAGGCACAAGTCGATCAGATCCTTGCAGGGCTGAGATCAATAAGATCTCGCATTTGTGTCTGTTGGTGTGCCAGAAACAGAATACCGTCTTGAACGCGGCAAATGCCGCTTTTAAGAGCATACAGACACCAAGATATTTGAAAGTGCAATGTGATTGGCCGTGCACCATACAAGACGCCAACAACGACGATGGCCGGCGCGGAGAAGCAAAATGCCAACCCGACCGTGTACGCGAGCGCGACGGAGCGCCGGGTCGAGAAGGTGACGGACGAAGAGAGCGCGGACCCGTTCGATGCGCTCGAAGTCTTTGGTTCGTCGTCGCCTCGGAAGCGAAGAGCGCTGACCGTGCCATCGTAGAGATTCTGCGCCATCTCAACGACCCCGAGCACCCGCTGACGCTCGAGCAGCTCAAGGTCATGACGCTCGACAACATCCTCGTGGACAACGCAACAAGCCGCGTCAAGGTCCAGTTCACGCCCACCATCCCGCACTGCAGGTGATACGAGTCCTCTCGTCGATGCATCTTTGTCAACCGTCGATGCCTGTAGCATGGCCACGCTCATTGGCCTCTGCATTCGCGTCAAGCTGTTGCGCTCGCTGCCAAAGCGCTTCAAGGTCGACATTCGCATCACGCCGGGCACACACATTACCGAAGACGCCAGTACGTACCCTGCCTTGTCGATTCCAATCTTATTGCGGTGACTAGTCAACAAGCAGCTCAACGACAAGGAGCGCGTCGCGGCCGCGCTCGAGAACGCTCATTTGCTCAACGTCGTCAACAAGTGCATCGCCAACACCGATCTTTAAGCTCTGAATCTTATTGCATGCGACGAGTACTTTGTGGATGCTGCAGCAGTATGTCGGGCCGGCTCATCGCCCATTTTAGCCGCCAACCGATACCAACGGCTCGCCCAATATGGCACAAACTGCGGTCGCGCCAAATTTAGCTTTCGGGAGGCGACATATAAATCTGGTTGGGACACGGCATTTCTGAACGCGCCAAAAGGCCCCAAGATGCCCCGACCCCACGCGACCCGCAACGAGTCCGACAACTGGATTGTGGTCAACCCTCAGTACCAGTTGGTCGTGCACCCCCATCGCCGCCGCTATGTGCCAGTCGGCATCCTGGGCGGGATCACGGACGAGAGCATTGGGGCGATCTTGGGGTACCTCGATGGCGCGGCTCTTGCCGCCGTCGGCCAAGTGTGTCGCCAGCTTCGCGTCGCGGCGAGCGATGACGCGCACTGGCTGAGCACCTGTAGGGCCGAGTGGGGCATCGACCCGAGCCAATTGGCCCGGCTGCAGACGTCCGTCACGGGCAAGGACCTCTATCAATTTGCTCGCCAGAGTCTTCGACTGTACGACGCTGACTCCTACAAGGTTGCTAACTATTCTTGTAGACTGACAAAAGCCATGGTGGACGAGCAGTGCATGCATGCGATGCAGCGAACGTGGTGCTTGCCCAAGCAAGCGATGACGTCCATTGCCTACAACCGCGCCATGTTTCAGAGTCCGCTTGTCCCGTGCACGATGCCGAAACCCGTTTAAAGTCAATCCATATCCAAGTTAGTCGCACGACACAAGTGTTGCTCCCAGACGGGCAAGGGACTACGCAGGAAGCGCGGCCATGCAGCTGAAGTCCTCTTGGTTGTTGTCGACGTCACGCGAAGCACCGATGATATCGTTGTCGAGCCGGCGGGCGTGGTACTGGGCACGCTTGGCCTTGGCGCTGAGTCGTTTCTTCTGGCGATGCCGAGGCGCCTCGACGATCTGGGGGTCGTCCAGAATTCTCTTGTTGCCTTCCATGGCAGGGCTTGGTCCGGCACTTGGAGCAGACGCCGTATCGTTCTCAATCTTGCCAACAAACGATCGGTAATGCGCACTCGAGACGATCGACTGGTAGAGCGAGCTCGGTTCCATCTCCTGCTGCGTCGAGCTGCTGCCGTACGGAGGAAGTCGGAAGGCGTGGAGGTGCCGGTACTTTTCATTCGAGTAGTCGGTCCCGTTCTCGTGGTAGAAGCGCGTCATGTAGTCGCAGTGGAGGTGAGCGATGGTGAGGTAGGCACGGGCCTTCTCGTGGAGCGCCGGCGCCTTGGGATCGACACGGTCTTTTTCGACTTTGGCCTTGGTCGCCTGGACGAGCTGTAGGGACAGGTCGATGCGCCCGTATGTGTGGTGCGTGATGCTCCGGCGCAGGTCGGGCAAGGACATGGCCCGTCGACGGCGTGGGTGGTCTCGAGAGACGGCCCGCGCGACGCGGTAGATGGTATGCGTCTCGCTCTCGAGGGGAAGGCCCCAAAGGACGTCCTGCGTCACCGAGTTGACGTAGCAGGGCATGTTGGACGCGCTGTCGTGGTAGAGGACCCATGGGAGTCTGCGCAGGAAGGTAGGAAGAGGGGGACGAGGGTTGAGCCCACGGAAGAGATGCATGAAGATGGGCCAGTTACCCTTGCATGCTGTCGTCTTCCGCGACCGCCATGGCCTGCGCTTCCCGCGTCGTCGCCATGTTCCCTCGGTTCCTCGGCTCAAAAATGATTGTGAATCCATTCCAGATGTTCAAAGGTACTTATGTGAAAGATACGAAACCACCCACTAAAGTACGCACTGCATTCACTTGTCACTGAGGACTGGGGCTAGGTTTCACCCTACTGCTCCCAGCGCGTTCCAAGCGTGTAGTACTGTACAGCAATACAGTAGCTCGAAAAGCTACCAGTCTAACCCTTCTGATAATTGAGGGTTTCTTTGCGAGCGCTGCACGTCGGCGTTGGACACCCGAAGAGAAGTACTGGACAAGAAGGGGCGTAGGACACGTCCTGCCACCACGGCGTTGACCACCGACAGAGGCTGGTCGTCATACCCGCAATTAACGCGTCGACAACAGTATGGGCGCGTGTATGTCGGACGAGCCCATCCCTGTGCCGCTCCTTGTTGCGCCGTCAACGCCCATCACGGCCGTCGACCCGAGATTCGTTTTGAAGACACCAATGCGCCTGCACGCTCGCTATGACTGGTCCAACGAGGGACGACCTTTTTGCATCAAGGACGTTGCGACCGGTGCGCCCTACTTCATTGTCGACGGCGCGCTTGGGCCGTGTCACAACCGCAAGACGCTGCGTGACGCCAAGGGCGTCGAAGTCGCAGTGATGGACGAGCCGTGGACATCGGGCGGACGCCGTGACGTGTCGCGCATCAACAACAGCGGCGAGGCCACGTCCCTTGTCTTTAGCTTTGACACGACATTCTTCTTGGTCTGTACTGACGTCCGATGCGAATTCGTCGACTTGGTGACCAAGCAGCGTCATGAGCTGACGGGCTCGGGCAGTGTCGGGACTTGGAGCATGGTATTTCGCTGCGACGGCCACGTGATCGCGACATTCGAGATGGACGCGACGCTGAGCGACAAGTATTTCTTGCACGTCGCGGCCGGCGTCGACTTGGCGCTCATTGTTCTCTTGTGCGTTGGCGCGCAAGAGGCATCAGAGACAATATTTTCGTAAGAATATTTCAACATAAGACTATACCACCTTTTGCAGACAATTTCTAATGCGTTGCGTTTTCCTCTGTCAGATAGCTTTCCTCATCGGTGCGGACGCTCTAAAAACACCATCATTGGTGAATAGTATTCCATGTATTCATGCCCGCCCGCCCCGCAACTAAATTTCATTGACACATACATAAATATGTTCCTGGTCTACGTAGCTCAGTACTGGCTTATGGCCAGCAATCGAGGTACTTTCGAGCGTGCGGTTGAATTTCGAGTTTGATTATAGTGTTGTTGCCGAGCCTCTGAAATCCGACTTGTGTGGACAGTTGCGGCCACGTTGGACACAGCTGTTTGCGATAAACACCAACGTGTGACTCGACGCACCCAACACGAGCAGCAAGATACACTTTGTGGAAGGCTCACTTTTCAATTTGAAGCTTTGAACAACAAGAACAAGAACAACATGGGTGCGTGCATGTCGGACGAAAACGTTATCGCGACGCCACTCGTCGTGCCACCGACGCCCATCACGGCCGTGGACCCCAAGTTTGTCTTGCAGTGCCCGATGCGCCTCAACATCCGCCACAACGACTGGGTCAACTCGGGCGAGTTCCGTGTCAAGGACGCCGCAACGGGCATCCCGTACTCTTCTTGGTCGACGGCGCGTTCTGGTCGTTCCACAACCGCAAGCTGCTTCGTGACGCCTACGGCACCGAAGTTGCAACGATGGAAGAACGCTCGTTCTCGCTCGGTCATCGCGACGTTCTGCGAACCAACGGCCGCGGTGAGGCCACGTCGCACATTTTTGGTTTTGACGTGACCAACTTTTTTGGCTCTACGGACCTCACGTGCGAATTCGTCGACGTGATGACCAAGCAGCGTCATGTACTGACGGCCTCGGGCAGCGTCGGGTCCTGGAACATGGTCTTTCGTTGCGACGGCCACGCAATTGCAAAATTTGAAAGCGACTGGACACTGAGCGGCGACAAGTACATTGTGGACATCGCCCCCGGTGTCGACTTGGCGCTGATAGTGCTCTTGTGCGTCGGGGTGCAAGAGGCCTCCGAGTAGGCTGGGTACGATTTATGCTTGCATACATATTCCAATCCCTTTCTCCAATATAATCTATTTGATCTCTCCAAGATGCATCAAAAAGGTCTCAAGCACAAAGCGTATACTAGTACTCCGTACGTAGTATCATCTCAGGGCGGTGGCTCATGACGTGGCAAAACTACAGAAAGCACGAAATGCAAATCCTCTCACGACCCTTGAGCAACTTGTCGGTCCACGGAGAGATGTGGCCTTTCTTTGGGCTGCAGACTCGAACGCACCTACTGGATACAGACCAGAGATGCACGCGTACGAGCTGCACGTTGGAATGATCTTTTCACGCCCAAAACCTGCTCTTTTTCTATTTTCCAAGTGTCGGTTGCGTGCATCTCAAGGCGACACTGTTCGAGAGCTATGTATTTTGTGCAACCAAGTGTGGAAGTCAAGCGTGATGACGCGATCAGACGAGTACCTGCATTTCTTTTCATAAACGCGAGGTGCCGGGACGAGGAAATCAACGTCTCCACTGGAGCCGGGCCAGAGATTGCTTGCCAGAGTGGCTCGTTGCGATAGCGTGCTTCCTGCGTCAGCCCCCTGTCTGCTCGCTCGTTTCGATCATTTTTGTGGACGCCACGCCATCTTTGACCACAACGAGTAGTTTTCGCAGTCACGCTCTCGGTGATTCGTCTGCTCCTTGGTTGAAAATCAAATGCTGCACGTTGGACCGGATTTGGGTGGCAGTGGTGACAAGTCAGACGCACGCCTACCGTGTACACGCGCAAGTGGACAAGACCAGTTGGACACGGTGCCTGTTTGTCGTGTGCGTTTTACAAGTGAATCCATTTCCAGTTTGTCCACATCGATCAGTCAGCTCCATGGGTGCTTGCATGTCGGACTACGACCACTTGCAGCCAGTGGCACTCTTACCACCGAAAACGCCTATCACGGCCATGGACCCCAAGTTCGTCTTGGCCAAGCCCGTACGCCTCAAGATCCGCCACCGTCCCGACGCTGGCGAGTGCATTATCCGAGACGAGCTCACGGGCGCGCCGTACTTTATCATTGACGATTCATTTTGGTCAACGCACGACCGCAAGCTCCTGCGCGACGCGACCAGAGCCGAAATCGCAGCGATCGAGTCGCGAACGTTCACGCCCGGACGCAGCGACGTGCTGCGAACCAACGGCCACGGCAAGGCGACATCGTTTCTTCTTCGCTTCGACGTCTCTGCGGCCTTGGGCAACGTCGAGCTCAAGTGCGAATTTCAGGACGTTGTCTCGAAGAAGCTCCGTGTTTTCGCGGCCACTGGTGGTGCTGGAACGTGGGTCGTTCTCTACTGCAACAGCCGGCCGATCGCAAAGTGGCGCAAAGATTGGTCGTTCAGTGACGGCGGCTACGTCTTCTTGGACGTCTCGCCCGGTGTCGACTTGGCGCTCATTGTACTTTTGTGCACGTCCATGTACACAGCTTCAGAGCGGTGGGCATCTCGGTGAATCATCATCCCACAAAGAATATTTACGCAATTGTTTATAACCATAAATGCCACTTGTCCACTCTACTAGCGTCGCACCAACACGCATCGCAAACGGGCAAAACTGCCGTGTACGGCGGCGGGGTGATAGGTGATAGTAAAATGACGTGGCAGAATCACAACGCACGCATCATGTCATGGCCACAGACCGTTTTTATAGTCTATGACGAAAGACAGTCGTTCGTGTCGTGATTGAATTGTTGAAATTACGCCTTCTTGATATCTATTGCAAACGAGTACTAGTGAATAACGAGCGCTGGTCATTCGTGCGTAGGGGCCTACCAAAGCTGTACGAAAAGTGGAGGTGCTCCGTGCCTTCCGAGTCGACAAACTAATCATTTGATCGTTGGATATGCCTGGATCACATCGTACCTTGCACTCGGCTCGGTACTTGCCGCGATAGAAGAGCCCGGACGGCGCCTCGGACCACTCGTGACGCGGAAAGAGAAAGTCGTACCCTGTCGACTGCGGCGCGTACGAGCCAAGGACAACGTCCTCCTTTGCCGACACAAGGTGCTTGCGGACCTTGTTCTGGAAGCGGAGACCGCTCACAATGTTGTGGTTGACCCGGAACCGGATCGCGAATTTATATTTCGCCCCTTCTTCCATGACGAATGGCGTCGCCTCGAGGTGCGCGAGTCCACTTGCCGTGTCGCATCGGTGGCTAATTTCTTGCCGACCGTCTTCGAAGATCACCTGCCATCCAACGTCAATAGCCACCGCGATGACCAAGCAAACCTTGAACTCGTCGACGACGACTCCACGCGTGTCGTTGACGTCTAGCCATGCAACGCCCTAGATACCTCTTTGCCGATATCTTCGTACCGCCAAGATCGCCCGTAGCCGCGGCGCCGAGCAACGTGGCCTTGTAGCGCTGCAGACTCGGGTCGTCGATGTCTTGCTGCAGGAGCGCGTCCACGGTCGCCAGCGCCCGGTCGCTGATCTACGCAGCGAGATCATAGCCTCTTACGACGATGTGAGGCGTCGGTACCGCGTAGGAGGTTGCGGTCACGTCCACTTCGGGCGTCTCGGGCTCGACCTTTTCGGCGCTGCTCGCCATGCTAGTACTCGAAAACTGACACGACGCTTCGTGTCACAGATGAAGCTAATTTCACGCAACCAGCTTCGCCTTCGGACGTTTACTGTGCTTCAACTCTTTCACCACGCTCGCTCTCGAGTACCCAAAGGAAGATGACGTGCCGTGAGCGCCTTCCGTGTACAGCGGACGAAGGATAGAACGGTATCAGGATGTGTCAAGATGATGCGCGCCGCCAGTGCAGCCGGCGGCGGCTCATGGGACGTCGATCGAATCAGGTCGTCGCGCGCGGTTAGCGCTTGATTGCACTGGCACGGTCCTACGAAGAAGTCGGCGAGAAGAACCTTGATCCAAGCTCGTGGCATGGATCGACGGGGTGCCATCATGCGTGCCACGCCAAGTTGAGCGGCAATGTGCGTGGTTTTAGACGCTGCCGCCTGTCTCGCAGCCAAGTCCTGCGGTGGCGTATCTTATTCGTTTTTAGAGGTTTGGCATTTTGCGATGGAGCAGACGCTGTTCCAGGAGAAGGCCGTGTGGGTCTATCAGATCCCGGTGCTCACGGGCGATCCGCGCGCCGACGCCTGGGACATTGAGAAGCCCTTGCTCACGGCGTCGCTCAAGGTGCTGCAGACCAACGACGACTGCAGCATCCAGCTCTTCGAACCCGCGGTCGGCGACAACTTGCCGGTCCTCTTTGCCCAGTGCCCCGTGGACATTGATGCCGAGCGCAGCCTCACCGTCTTTGTGCAATACTGCGTCGACTCGTCGCGCTACTTTGTGCTCCGCATGGTCGACCAAGCCAGCAAGCGCAGCGCGTTCCTTGGTGTTGGCTTTCCGGAGCGGTCGGCGGCCTTCAACTTTCGCGCGGCGCTCGAAGACTTTGGCCGGTACAAGCAGCGGCTACTGTTTGTTGCATCAAATGCAACAAAGGAAGCCAAGGACCTGAGTCTCCCAGAAGGCGCGACGATCCGCGTCCAGATTGGCGGCAAGACCCAAGTGTCGACGACGCCCAAGGAGCCCAAGGCGCCTGTGGACCTCTCGGCCATCAAGTTTGCACCACCGCCGGCGTACAACCCGAGCGCGACCTCGGCCGTCGCGGACGACGAGTGGGGAGAGTTTACGTCGGGATAACTGGCCGGCGCCAGGGTCGTAATAATGGATGCATTATAATCACGCTTGTTGTTCTGTGGTATCTTTCTGCAACGACGAGCCATGGCCGAGCGTATCCAGGTCGGCGTCCGGTGTCGACCGCCTGCCGGCAACAACGCGCTGTACGACGCCTCGTATGCGCTGGCGCTCGAGCCACATGCGATCCACATCGTGCCCGCCCACAGCCGCCACGTCGGCCAGCGGTCGTTTGCGTTCGACCATGTCTGGGCGCCGGAGACATCCCAGGCGCAGGTCTACGACCACGCAGTTGCGCCGCTCGTCGGTCATTTGGTAGGCTACTGCACTGTCGCTATCGCGGCCAGACGATGCGCGTAGCTCGCGGGGCGGTCCGGCGCCGTGCTCGCGTACGGCCAAACCGGCACGGGCAAGTCGTATACGATGGGCTTTCTCGAGGCGTCGTCGGCGCCAGAGCTCGGCATCATTCCCCGCGTCTTTGAGCACCTCTTTGATGCGCTTGCGCCGACAACGCACCGCGTGCACATGTCGTTTTGCCAGATTTATATGGAGACCGTCCATGTACTGACGACTACTTGTGGGTCGTGCGACAACGGTCGTTTGTAGGATCTGCTCGTCCCGCTGTCGTCGTCGTTGGTAGATTTGCCCGTGCGCGAGCGGGACAGTGCGTTCTATGTCGATGGCTTGGAAGCCCACGCCGTCACGTCGCTGCAGAACGCCGTACGCACGCAATAAATCATTTCTTAGCGTACATCATGTGCGTAGCGCAGCCTCGTGCACTTGGCGATGGCCAATCGTGCGCTTGCGGCGACGGCGCGCAATGCCACGTCCTCGCGTAGTCATTCGCTACTGACGATCTCCGTGTCGACGACCACGTCGACGGCGCAGCTCGTCCTCGTCGACCTCGCCGGCTCGGAGCGCAGTCTTCCAAGCCTTGGCTTTGCTCCGGATGCGACCAAAGCCCGGCTACTCGAAGCAAAGAGCATCAATTCGTCGCTCTCGGCGCTTGGCAACGTCATGTCGTCACTGGCGAGCGCCACGCGGGCGTCGTACCGTGACTCGAAGCTGACCAAGCTGCTCAAAGGCGTGCTGCGCGCAGGAAGCACGTTGGTTCTGGCGACAGTCGACGGCGCAGCAGCCAACCTCGCCGAGACGCTCTCAACGCTCAAGTTTGCGTCGCGCTGTCGCCACGTGACCTTGCCAAAGCGCTCGAGCGGTGCAATAAGTAGCGCGCATAAGAACGCAGCGGGGCAGACTGTCGCCACGCAGACCGAGGCGCCGACCGACGTCGATGTCCTCCGCGACGCCTTTCAGAAGAAAGAAATCGAGCTCCATGTCGCTTTATGCGTGCAAAGGACTCGTCAACTCAGGGTACAGTCTTGTGTAGATGCTGTACCAGGAGCAGCTGTACAAGCTCCGAAGAGCACTCGAGCGGCTTAGTGCACGACCGGACGACAAGGTGTGGTCGATCTTGGGCGAACGTTCGAGTATCTTGACACGTCACGACGACGACGACGATGCCCTTTCCGGTGCCATCTTGCGTGCTTGCTGTTTGCTCATGGGTGCGTCTAGTCTCTACCGAGGACGGCGACGAAGCGTTCAACCAAGTTGAGCTGTAGCCAGAGGCTCTTGCCGCGCCAGAAAACATGGTTGCGTGGCCGAAGACGCTGCGCATTTTGCCGAAAACCACGTGCGTCGCCATCGCATTCTGTGCTACCCGTACTAGAATCAAGGGTCTATATAAACAGTGTATAGACCCTTCTTTAACTATAGTGTGTCGTCGTGCGCTATGGCAGCAGGCACAGTGCATTGGAGGCTGTCGCGACGATCGCGATGAGAGTTGCGTGTTTTTAAACACATTGTTGTTGGGAGAGTTTTGGCCTGTCGGTGCACGACGCCGACATCTCCAAGACGTTCGATGGTCCGGCGTCTGGACGGCGCTATAAATGTCGCCTGCGACTACGGGCCTTTCTTGCGCTGCGGGAAGAGAAAGCCGTTGGTCAGCTTCCTCGCTGCTTCAAGGAAGAAGCGCGCCGGACCTGGTTTTGATCACTCGACCGAGCGCGTTAGGTATTGATAGCAAAACGGCGCAGCGAGAGAGATGGTGGTGCTGCTGCTGCTTGCAAGCATGCAAGCGTCGTCATGCGTGTTGGAGCACGAGATGGTCGCAAGGGTGGTTGTGCTCGGGTCGCATCGATGCCACCGGCGATTTCCTTGGATCCCGACAGTGAGCCAGCCAATCACAAGCGATTTCAAAAAGTACCAGCCAATGGCCTGGCGCCATTATTTCGCATACAATCCTCCGAGCAACCGCGTGCAGGGTCTGCCGCCACTTGGGTGCTGGCCACAACCACAATTGCACAACGCCGCGCATGTCGACGCTGCAGCTCAGCGCCAAGCAGGTGCTCGTGATGCTCTGCGCCATCAACTTTCTCAACTTCTTTGACCGCGGCCTTATCCCGGGCGCGCCGATCGAGTTTCAAGCGTTTGTGCAATCGGCCCACAACGTGTCATCGAGCCACGTGAGCGTCTACATTGGGCTGCTCCAGACGTCGTTCATCGGGTCGCTCTCTGTCTTTGTGTGCGTCTTTGGCTACCTCTCGCGCACGCAGCGCCCGTTCTTTCTGACGGCGCTCGGCCTCTCAGTGTGGCTTCTCGCCCTCGTCTGCTGCGCACTCGCCAAGCCGCTCAACAGCTTTTACGTGCTCCTCGTCGGCCGCCTCATCTCGGGCATCGGCGAAGCGTCGTTCCAGGCGACCGCGCCGGCGTTCATTGACGCGTTCGCACCACCCGCCAAGCGAACACTGTGGCTCGGGGCCTTCTTCGCCCTCGTCGCTGTCGGTGAGGCCATTGGCTTCTCCGTGAGTGCGCTTCTGGCCGCAAGCGTCGGATGGGACGTCGGGTACTACCTCACGGCGATCCTCGCCCTCCCACTTGTCCACGCTTGCTACCATTTCGTGCCCCATGAGCTCAACAAGCCGACGCTATCGCCGGACTGCCCGCCGAACGAAGATTCGCTCTTGCCGTCGGCAACGACCTCGTACTGGCGCACAACGTGGCAAGTGCTCTGCAACCCGATCTTTGTCACGGCGACGCTCGGCTGGGCGGCGTATGCGTTCACAATCGGTGGGCTCTCGACGTTTGCGCCCGCCCTCTTCATCGGGCTTGGTGTCCTCGATGTCTCATTGGCCTCGACCGCCATGGGTGGCATCGTTGTCGTCTCCAGTCTCACGGGTGCGCTCCTCGGCGGTTACCTCCTCGACCGCAGCTGCCGCGGCCGCGAAGACGACCGCCACTTTCGACTTCGAAAAGCCGCGCTGCAGATGCTTATCTCAATGAGCCTCGGCGTAGCCCTTCTCTTTCTCTCCATGTGCGCGCTGAACGGACCACCGATCGTCGTGTTAGCGCTCATCCTGCTGGGGCTGATGTGCGTGCTCATGTCCCAAGCGCCGCTCACGACGGTCGTGCTCCTCAGCGTCAAGTGGAGCCAGCGCAGCTACGCCGTCGGGCTCAACACGCTGCTCATGCACCTCCTCGGCGACGTCCCCGCCGTCGTCGTCATTGGTGCGCTCAAAGATCACTGGGCACCGCACTGCGGTAGCGTCGTGGACGTCCACGGCTCCGACGTGCTCGACCCGAATTGCCATTTGGATGCAACCGGTCTCCGCGCGACGCTTGCGTTTGCCTACGGCTGGCTACTGTGGGCCGTCCTCTTTTGGGGCGCGACGTACTACTTGGCGCGTGCCCGCACGACGCGGGCGGACGCTGACATCGATGGCGAAATGATGACCATGCCCCAAACGCCAACGTACAACGACTGCTAAAGTCCTTCTCGATCGCCGCCGTCGCCGTAAACAAGTACGAGTAGAGTAGGTTTGTATCATGTAGATGTCCATCGTTGGATCGTAGTGCAAATAGTAGGTTAGGTTTCTAGGACTGCAACCGCGGTTTTGGTGCATCATTGAATACAGGGTCATCGTCTTTGAGGTCTGGGTTGATCTGGCGTGGGCCTGCTTGATATATTGATACATACGTTACACTCGATCAAAGATCGCAAATCCGAAACGGCGCGGTGGCATGGTCGAGCTCAGCGTCCGCGCGATTCTGGTGCTGGTATGTGCCATCAACTTTCTCAACTTTGTCGACCGAGGGCTTATCCCGGGCGCGCCGATTGAGTTTCAAGGGTTCGTCCAAGCGACGACGCAGGCCGGTGCCAGCGTCAGCGTCTACGTCGGCGTGCTCCAAACCTCGTTCATTGCGTCCTTCTCGGTCTTTGTGTGTCTCTTTGGCCACCTCGCCACCACCCATGCGCCGTTTACGCTCACGGCGATCGGCCTCTCGATCTGGATCGTCGCGCTCGCTTGCTGCGGTCTGGCCAAGACGCTCGGTAGCTTTCCGCTCCTCTTTGCTGGTCGGCTCGTCTCGGGCATTGGCGAGGCGTCGTTTCAAGCCACCGCGCCGGGCTTCATCGACGCCTTTGCGAACCCGAGCCAGCGCACGCGGTGGCTGGGCCTCTTCTACGCCGCAGCGCCGATCGGCGAGGCCGTCGGCTTTTCGTTTGGCTCAATTGTCGCGGCCAGCGTGGGCTGGGATGTTGGTTTTTATACGATCGCAGTGCTCGCGCTGCCGCTCGCCGTCGCGTGCTACACGTGCATCCCGCCAGCGCTCAACTGCCCGCTGGGCGACGCCCCGCAAGAAGCGTCGCCGCTTCTGGAAAAGGCAGAGCGCGCACCGACCACCTTTGTGCAGCAGACTCTGTGCATCCTACAGAGTCCGCTCTTTCTCACGTCGTCTTTGGGCAGCGCCGCCCTCTCGTTTACGCTGGACGGCCTCGCAACGTTTGCGCCCGTCTTATACATTGGCATGGGTGTCCTTGACGCGACCTATGCGGCCTCCGCCGTCGGTGCGATCGTCGTTGGCGCTGGCCTCCTCGGACCTCTCATCGGCGGGCATCTCTTGGACCTGTCCTGTCGCGGCCACGAACTCGATGACCGCGTCCGGCAGCGCGTCGCAGCGTCGCAGCTGCTGATCGTCGCGGTTACCAGCACCGGGCTCCTCTTTCTCTCGCTCGCCTGCATCGGCAACAACCGGATGCTGGTCTTGGGTTTCCTGTTCCTCGGTCTCGTGCTTGCATTCTCAGCGTCGGCGCCGTCGACGGTGCTCATCTTGCTCAGCGTGTCGTATGGGCAGCGCGGGTATGCCATGGGCCTCAACACGCTGCTCACGCACGTCCTCGGCGATGTCCCTGCCGGCGTGGTGCTTGGGGCGTTGAAAGACGTCTGGGCGCCGCACTGCGGCAGCGTTCTCGACGCGCACGGATCCGATGTACTCAACCCGAATTGTCATTTCGACTTTGCCGGCCTGCGCGCTACGCTAGGGTTCGCCTACTGCTGGCTCGGCTGGGCCATCCTTGCGTGGGCGATCGCCTATTGGTTTGCGGCCAAGCGACGCACGTCCTTTCATGCATAAGCGAGAACATGACGTATTGCACCATAGAAATGAAATAGAATCGAGTTGCAGTCAAAGGGTTATATAAGGACTTGTGGCGTTTGTAGAACTAGGTCGTCGAGGAGCTACCACAGCCGCCACCGCCGCCGCTGCTTGTACCGCAGCCGCCACCACCGCTGCTCGCACCACAGCCACCGCCGCCACTCGAGCCGCAGCCGCCAGTTGCGCAGCCGCCACCAGATGCACAGCCCCCGCCGGTAGCACAGCCGCCACCAGAGGCACCACAGCCGCCACTGGCACCACAGCCCCCGCCAGAGTCACCGGGAAAGACAGAGTCGGACGTGCCGCAGCCGCCCGTGGCGCCAAAGCCACCGCAGCCGCCGACAAAGACGTAGGGCATGTAGTAGTATGGCAGGCGGCCTTCGTACATGAGCAGCGTGATGCGCGCATACGGGTGGCGGACGCGGCCGTCCATGACGGGTGTTCCGATGACCGTGACGTACACGGGCACCTCGTCGACGACCCCCTCGGGCTTGATAACGTCGTGGATCGCAGTGGCATACGGGAGCGCGTCGATCGGGTAGGCTTCGTTGACGCCCACGTAGCGATTTGCCGTCGACGGCAGGCGGCCGTGTTTGGCCCACGTCTTTTGACGCAAAGTTGGAAACACCGGGTACGGCGACATGCCCTTACTCCACGCAGTGTAGCTCGGCGGGAACGACGAGTACTGCTCGCGGTATGTCTTGGACCAGAGCAGAAAGGTCTTGGCGTAGCCCGTGGCAAGGTCGCCGCCGCCGATCGTGTCGTCATGGTCAATGAGGCGATGGCAAAACCGACGTGTGAACGCGACGTAGTCCTTGTGATGGGTTTGGTGCGTATGCCACACAAGGTCAATGTCGGACGTGGGCACGAGCACATCGCTCGACTCCTTGAGAACCATGAGGTGCAGAAACTTCTCGTAGCGCGCAATCGACGCCAAGAGCACGTCGGGGTGCGCCCAGTACTCGTAGTGCACAACGATTTTTGCGATAAAGTCGAGTTGTCGAAACATGCCTTGGACCAAGTCCATGGCAAAGAGACCGAGGCTGCGAGTCTGTCGGGTCGCTTGAATCGCAGCGCGAATGTCCTTGCGCACGCGCTGGATCGCCGGCCGCGTCCCTTGTGACGCGACCTCGACGATTGCGCTCTTGACGTCGTCAATGTACGCCTTCCATGTGCCGTCCGATGGCGTCGGTGGCATCGCGACGTCGAGCGCCGGTGGACCGTTGATCACTCTTCCCGGCACAGGAAAGAACGGGTGCGCGGCCACGAACGCTGCGATCGAATACGTTTCATACAAGACACCGCATTGGCACGACGGACACACGATTGCGTCACCGAGAATGTGCATGCGGTACGCGAGCGGAAGGGGCAACGACCGCCGGCAATGCGTGTGCGGACACGCGCGGACAAGGTCGGCCAGTGGCTGCCCGTCGGTGCGGCCGCGCTGGTACTTGAGCGGGTGGAGCACGTGCACCGTATGCGCAAAGTTACGGTCGCCCTCCACGTAGTCTCTCTCGAGGTCCAGGAAGAACGCGTAGAGGTCCTCGATGCTCGGCATCGACGACGCGATCTCGTAGATACCGCGCATCTCTGCCAAGTGTGCCAAGACGTCGTCGATCGTGATGTTGGTGCGCGGCACCGTGGTCGCTGGCACGCTTTCGTTGAGCGCGCGGGCAACGCCAAGAAACGCGCTGTAGGCGTCGCTGGTTGTCGACGGCCACGGTTGGCCGAGCGCGATGGCTTCCAGCCGCGTGATGAGCGCGTCACGCAGCGAGCCGCTCGCTGCGTTGCACGAAAGCTTGACCTTGTCGTGCACAAGAATCTCGAATGGATATGCGCGCGTTGGGTCCACGCACTCGAGAAGCCGCACAGAGCAGTGGGCAGCGCCGGCCGTCAAGAGCGGCTTCTTGTCGCCGAGGACTTCGAGTGTTTGGCGTGTAAGGACGAGTTGGCGCATGTGCCAGGACGTGACCATGAGGACCTTTTCCTTGACGTCGACGTCGAGCTCGAAGACTTCAGCGCCTTGCGTCGCCGTCGGGTTGTTGTAGCCCATCGTCTCTTGACGCGCACTGTTCAAAAATGACGATCGCCAAGCTTCCCAAACGAAGTTCGAAGATCCATCATGTGGCGTCTGATTGGGTATCTTTTCATTTTCTTTTTGGTGGATTTTGAGATTCCGAGAGGATAGATTGAATCCCCTAGTCCAGCCCTAGTCGCGTCTTTCCAATAACGTTCTTTTGGTGCAATTGCAATACAATTCAAGTCGTCTTATAGTACTAGGGCGTTCTTATAGTACTAGGGCGTTCTTATAGTACTGGGGCGATCTTGAGCACGACTAGCCCATGGAGCTGCAGTGCAAGCTAGCATCGACCTTGGTTCTTGCTGCGCGATACCACTTGCACGCGATCCCAAACACAAACACGTAGCAGAGCACTGTCCATAGCAGCCAGCCATACGCAAAGGCCAGTGTATAGCGGAGCCCTTCCTTGTCCTTATGGCACTCGGGGTCGAGCACGTCCTTGCCGTTCGCGTCCATCTTGCTGCCGCAGTGCGGTGCCCAGGTGTCTTTGAGCGCACCCAGCACGACACCCGCGGGCACGTCGCCAAAGAGATGGAGGAGGAACGTGCTGAGGCCCATGGCAAACCCGCGCTGCACGTGGTCGACGCTCATGAGCAGCACGATCGTCGTGACGGTTTGCGTTCCAAACACGCAGAGAAAGCCGCCAAACAAAAAGACAAAGAAGCCGACTTTGCTGTGCATGCACGCCACCGACACGAAGAGAAGCACGACGCCGAACGAGATGAGGGCCGACATTTGCGCTGCCGCGCGCTGCAGTCGGAAGAAGCGGTCGTGTTCGCGGCCAGCGCAAAGGCGGTCTTGCACGTACCCACTGAGCGGCGACCCGAGCAAGCCGGCGAGCACGACGATGCCGCCGAATGCCGTCGACGCGATCGACGCGTCCATGAGCTCGTACCCAATGAGGATGGCGGGGGCGAATGCAATCATGCCGTTCATCGTGAACGTAAACGCTGCGAGGCCGAGCGTCGCGCCCAGAAACACTGGGTTGCGCACAATGGTCCACGCTTCGTGAAGAAACGACGTCGCAACTGGCGGTGCTTTGGCCGTCGGCTGGACGTCGGCCAAGAGGACGGGGCTCGTCGGTGTCGTGATCTGCACGTTGCAGCTGTCGTCGTTGTCGTCGGAGGCGTAGAGGGCCAGCGGTTTGTCAAAGAAAGCAGGGATCCACGCATAGCATGCGTACACCACCGGCACCATGAGCACCGCCGTGAGGTAGAAACCATAGTCCCAACCGACCGTGCGCGCCGTCACCGAGCCGTACGAGAACCCGAGTGCCTGCCCAATCGAGAACGTCGCATAGTAGCACGCGAGCCAGAGCGTTCGCTTCGCCGGCGGCGCAAACTCATCGATGAACGGCGGCGCCGTCGCATGGAACGACGCCTCGCCAATGCCCGAAATGAGCCGGCCAGACAGCAGCAAATAAAAGCTGTCGAGCGGCTTGGCGAGACCGCACATGACGATCGAGAGGATCCACACAAAGAGCGAGATGGCCATGAGCTGGAACGGCTTGCGCGTCATCGAGAGGTAGCCAAAGACGCAGATGAAGATCGAGTACGACGCGATAAAGATGGACTGAAGGAGGCCAATGTAGATGCTGACGTTGTCGGACGAGACGTGGTGCGTGCGCTGGATGAAGCCTTGGAACTCGATCGGCGCGCCGGGGATGATACCGCGATCGATGCAGTT